TACCTGACCAAATATTCCATTATTTTTTACTGCAGAGATGAGCTTTTTGCGTTTCCTTTTCTGTTTTATAATAGTTTTGTCCCAAACTCAATTCATAACAAAACAAAATAGCTTGAACTATGTCAAAATATAACTTTTTATTCTGGTTAAATTAATACAATTTTTAAATAGATTGTCACATTTCCGTATAAATAAGTTTTTAATCCTTCGATATGTTAAATATCATCACCTGTGCATAGTGTAAGTAATAAGAAATGCATATTTTTATTCTTCTCAAAAACATGGGGAGTAGGTCACCATACAGGCATAACCTCAGCTAATAACTATGTAAGCATATCTACCTCATGATCAGTTTCACTCCTTTGATACATAATTCTACCTCCATGAAAGATATATTCTCTAAGTCAGATGTGTCGATTATATACAAAAAAACCTACTTATCAAATATATGCAATACTCGTTTGTAAAATTCCTGCCTCCTCTTCTTGTACACACAGAGATAAATGTTACCTCCTGTTTATTGTTACCAACCCCTACCTCCACAATAGATACAAAGCTCGACCTCTTCATCAGTTGCAACCATCAGAATCCTGAACAGGTATACCTACTTCCCGATCAGTTACTTGTCTATATTCTGACCAGACACAAAACCCTATATCCTGATCATATGCATACACCTACATCTGACTAGGTAGAATAAACCTACATCCTGATCAAACCAACTCCACTTAGTCATCGTGTACATGCACCAACATTCTTAACAGGTGCACACAACTTCCTGATCAGGTACATATACTCACTTCATCAGGTACAATAATCAATTAATATACATTTTTTAGATATGGAACTGGAATGAGAAAAACAATTAAAATATAACATGAAATAAAATATTGTGATCACACCATATTTATCATGCTAAATTTGACATTGTGTTACTATTGTGTAAATACGTGTCGAGGAATTCAGGATATCACTTGTTTACAGAATTCTTACAACGAACGAAAAAAAAAAGTTTTTTTTACATTTCTCCTTAGCCCACATGTACCGGAAATGATATATATATCTAAAAATGAGACTATGCATGTATAATTACCTATCAGTCAAAGTGAATAGGGAAAGAAACAAAACGGTTGATGTGCTGCGGTATTCTCTGTCATGTTATACAAACCATCTCTATCGTTTTTATCACAAAAAAACATTTTTACGATACTGCTTATTCTTGAGCTTCAAATTAGTGTTTTGTCATTCTACGAAACATGTTATATTTTAGAGGTTAATATTTCATTTGATACATTAGAACGTAGCTATGACATATACATCTCCTTTCTATTTTTCATATTAGAAACACCTGTTCATTGTTATAATATACACTTGATTATTGATAACATGTACTAAAAATTCTATTAATCTACGCATACTTATATTCGTTTAGATTCAATACAGACCTGCTTAGCGTCATTTTTGAAAATATGTCAATGTCTGTGTTACAAATCTGTTTTTATTCTGACAATATACAGCTGTTTATTGCCATACTAAAAATAATTCTATTTGATGTATACTGATATTTGTTTTGAATATTTTACTCCACAATTATTGTGAAGGGTTGGATTATTTTATTGCTTGCATGGCCTGTTGAAGAGGGGTGAACTCTTTGAAAATGAATTGAATCAGTACATACCATTTGCCCTCGAATGCATTTTCATTAGACCGTGTAGAACAATTACGACAATTATGACACCGATGTCATGACAGCAAACTTAAATGTAGACACACATACTCTAACATTCGTGTAGCACTCGATGATTTATCGCTGATAACTGGCGTTTAAACCCCAAATAACAACTCACGTACATTATTTATATCGTAAATAACAATGTGATCAACAGAGTAAATTCTCTTTCGCATAATATATGGTATCAGACAATATATACCTTTTATACACGAGAAAATTACTAAGTATTAAACACTTGCTGACGTGATGATGGTCTCAGGTCTTTATGTTTACAAAGTGTCTACATAATACTGGCATTTCGCATTATCCCGTAGAGCAATGTTTACATGTGAACACATGTACCATTAACCTGCAAAGTGATGTTACAAAACGATGGAACATTGTGTTTGTTTCGCGCAGACCAAATCACGCGTGCAATTATGTCATCGGAAAATTAATGTTTTTTTTTTTTTTTTTTTGTTTTTTTTTGGGGGGGGCTAATCTGTTCATATGTCATTTTACAAATCTGATTAAAATTGGTATTGTAAATCATTTAGTGTTATATCATACGCCTGGTTATTGCCATACTACAAATCCGGTTACTTATTTATTTATTTATTTTCTAAATCATCTATTGCTCTTATAATATTATATTTTACACAATGGTTAGACACGTCAAGTTATCGTAAAAGCGTGTCCACATGCAATAAATCAACCTCTCTGACGCTGTAACAAATACAGAAATGACATCAAATTATACCATGTAGATAGTCATCTTAATAGAATTGATCTATTGTAACAAGAAAATGTATTTCAACAAAGCAACACATGCATTTTTACGATGACATGTACAAAATATTCAAGAAAGTTGCTAATATACATTCTATATAAGATTAAAAATGGCCGTGTCTTAGTATCATTCCATTAGGGACTATCCCAACTTCACGCCGAAAACACAATACTTACTTGTTTTCGAAATCCTGGAACTAGAACTTTAGAATATGTAAACAGCACCTTTGAATATTGACCTGTATCAATAACTGGAAGTTGACTAACTACATCTTTTTACTTTATTGCTGTCGAATCAAATATCATAACCCTGTACCGCTTGGTTACCAAAAAATGTCATTTAAACACAATTGACATATGCAACATATACATTGGGTCAAGGTTACTCATATTATCAAACCTGCTTATACTAGAGAGTAAATGATTAATAATCGGGACACCTTACACGTAAAATATTCTAGATGTTGTGAAACTTGAGAAGAAGTTTTCCATTGCACTTAACATTTTTCATCTTACCTTTTGGTCTAATGTTTCATGGTTTTAATATATTCAACAGCAATTATTCACAGTATGCTTTTGACAAAATTTCATAACAATGGGGTTCATGGTAATCCCCCAAAGTGAAATGTTAAGATTTTTAACAGAATTGACACCTGTGACGTTGACAAAAGGTCATTTATATTACCAAACTTGCTAACAAATTACTGGAACATAGTATATGTAAAGTGTCTAGCCTGTAGGCCCTGTAGAATTTCAGAAGATATCTTAAGCTAGTTTCACAACATTTCCAATTCGAAATTTGACCCCTTGTATTTATTTCGTAAATGAGATATTGCAGTAGAGATAAAATCGGATAATACGTCATGGCCGTAATGTAATTTTGAAAAAGTAGAAAATAACACTAAATGTTAAAAGATATCTGGGGAAACCTTCCAAATAAATTTCATAGAACTTATAAAATATACGTACATACAGCAAACTAAATAGGCTTAAAACCTTTTTTCTTTCAATTCATACCTATCAAAAGATATGGGGTACACAAAGTTTGACCAAATCAGATGGGCTGACCACACGGGGACATTGTGCAACGTTTACATGTCACACTACAGGCTATTTAAATCACAATCCAAGCTGTCTGGAGTCCTCTGTGTTGCTGATGTTTAATTTGTATTTAATATCATTAAATTACTGATGATATCATGTTGAGTTATTTCAAAACAAATGTTACCAGAATATACTATCAATTACTAAAAATTAATATTGTCATATAAATACTTATTGTAGGTTAGCTAGTATTAATTATAACAAGAAAAGTAAAAATAACAATAGGTATTTTCATCTATTGGTTAAAACAATAATTGAATAAGTGTAAATATGATAATACCATTCGTTATGGTAATGACCACAGCAACTATACAACAGTCGAACAAAGTGAATAGATAACCAATCGATGTCAGCAGAATTTGTGTTTAGCAATATATATAACAATGACACTTTATCTGTATCATAATGTTACTATGATTAGCTAGCGAATTTTATTCAATAAAAAACGCAGCGTCCATGTATTGCATGTCAATATATAAAAAAACTTGTTACCGGTTAATCAGTAGTAATAATGATACATATACTTATATACTATAATAATACTATCATTTATGTTAATGGTCGTAACCACTAAACAACAGCTGTTGTAGTACATATCAAGTAAATTAGATGATCTGACCCCTAAAGAACATTGTACAAGGTTATTATTTGCTTCTAACCGATTCTGAATATATTCCAGGAGTTTATCGGCTACGTTTTCCTTCAGTAGATTATTTGTATATTAGCTGCTGTAGCTATATGAAGGAACTCGGTTAGGACTTGGTTTTAGATGGGAAACTTTTCATTGATTTTTATTTTTTTTTAATTTTGTTTCATTTCATTCACGTATCTTATAAACCATCTTTTTGTTGTGATACGTGTGAATACCAAATCAGTAACACAAATCGTTTCCCGGCAGACATTTTGTTTTCGCATTGACCGCTGTATCATGTGTCACTTGACCCATTGGCTAATATCATAATACTTTAAAATATCATTTCTTAGACGCAGCTACATTTTTAATACACTAACATGTAAATAACTCTTAACGGTAAGCTTATGATAATGATAATAGTAATAATAATGATAATAACAATTATAAAAGGAAATATAACAATAGGTTTTTTTCACCAGTTGGTGAAACAAATGAACTATGACTTCATTCAGTGTCGCTTTCATCTGATTGGCGAGACCGATCGAGTAAAATCCATCCCTTTCCATCTTCTGAATATCTATAGAATTTCAGTTTAATGAAGACTTGAAATTAATCAGGAAATTCACGCTGCGTTTATTAGTTCTGATATGTTTGCTTTGTCTATAAACAAGACAAAACAATTCAGCAATGATTTCTTAGAAGAATCGTTTGGTTACTCTTGTTTGTCTTCCATTCTAGTGCATGAAGAAGTCTAGAGTTGTTCTACAGCTCTACAAACCATGGCTTGAAAGACCCTTCTTCAGGCAATGGGAACTGTAAATAATCAAATTTTTGAGTCGATATGGATACAAAGAAGTTCGATGTTATTTTTTAAATTTATATTGACATTTTCTTAGTATTCGTACAATATTACTTTCATTTTGCTAAACATTAGATACTCAAGGCCGAGGAGATCTGACCTGGTAGGTTCTTTACTTTTCAAATAAACAGATTTGATCATCGTCTGAATTGGATCATCCAGCATTTGTTGGTTAGTTTTACCTGTTTTGTAAACTGATCCTCGCATGCCATCCTGATTCGTTCAGGCGTGGCTGGGCTGTTCAACTGAAAAATCCTGCTTTTTTCAGCATCCCCTCGGGCAGATCGTATGGCTTCTTTAACGGCAAAGAAAACAGATGCCGCCAGGAAGAGAGGTGGTTCCCCTATTGCCTAATGTGATAGAAAAAAAGAGTGTTCATATAGTCAATCCAAAGATATTGTTAACACAAAATCAACAATTTTACAGTCCATATGAAATTGTGTGCCAAGGATTTACAGAACACATAATGAATTCGAGAAGGAACAAATTGTAGACACTGGTTGACAAAATATATAAATACGAAGGTTACATATAGAATCAATTTTAATTGATTCAATAATATTCATATTGTTTCTGAGTTTTTTCTTCATTACAGGTAAACAAATAACACCCAAGCCTGAGTAAGAAGTTTCAGTGACAAAAGTAGAGTAAGACTAAAGACTTTAAGCCATTTTCTTGGCGTAGGTCAAGGGTCATAATTTAAGTCAATGTGGTGACTTTTGATGCACGATTCATAGCTTTAGCTTGGTGCACTTAATCACTTATGTCTACGTGTGAAGTTCCAATGACAAAAAAGTGACGCTTAGGCCTACAATTTGAGGACTAGGAGGACACTGAGTAAAATCCTGAGTGATAGAAAGGAAAGTCGAAATGTAGACGTTGATGTGCACTGCCCAATAATTAAATAACTTTCTTAAATTTCATATTTCAGACAATTTTTAGAGCAACGACAAGTACATACCTATATTCTTAATCGGGCCATTTTTCGAATGAATTAAAATGTGGCATCCGAACTTTTCATTTCATGTAGGTCAAAGATGAAAATGTAGACCAGTGTGACCTACTTTTGATACGCGATATATTGTCTCTTCAATGTGAACTCATATCCCTGTTATAAAGTTTCCGTAACTAGCAATTTGGAAGATAGCGCCCGAATTGTTTTTCTTTTTCTTAAATATTGATTAGAGTTACCTATTTTTTATACCGTAAATCTAAAATGCACTCATAAGTAGTAAGTTCCCGTGTATAGGATAGTGGAATGATGGACGAACAGGCGGACGGAAAAAACGTCAAACTATATATTCCACCGGTTCCTGTTAGAGGGATTAAGGGCGATTCGACATGAACCCTATTGACAAGACATTTTATTGGTTCATTATATAAGTTTAACCTTTTCTATTTTTTGATAATCTTAAATCGTCTAAATCAGTCGTTTTGCTTTTCAAATCAGTCTCAAATTTGTGCAATTAAACATAAATCTTAAATATCTCGAAATGTACTACGCAGATTCACAACCTCGGACTATTGGGAACTTAAACTAAAATATGAGAACGATCCACCAAGAATTCATCAATCAATAACGATACAATTTTTGAGTTGAATCTTCGATGTTTGCTTGAAAGTAATTCGTTTTTTTCTAACCTATGCAAAAGTCAAAAGAACACACCTAAAGGAAACGTTTATATGATATTTGAGAAAGATCCATTCTGACTTGTTCATATAATGTAATGCCTAAATTAGGCCGCCATGAATTAGTTATCCTTATATACACTAAGTTTAATAACGGTAGTTATCAGACCGATCACTAAATTGCGTGTGGCCTAACCTAGCTGCAATAGAGTATCTAAATCTGCGTTGCTTGGAGTTCATGAATGTACGTGAAAGCATTTTACTCCATTCTTCGGTAAGTGCGTAGGTCAATGGGCGGAGGGTATTTGGGATGTTTTCCACGATTTCCAACTGTTCTGTGTAATTCAGCCCATGAGTGTTCGATCGGGTGAAAATGGGGGCTATATGGAGATGATTTGGGACGTGTAGCCTGGCGTTATCATGCTGAAAGGTCAAACTTTTGCACAGCATGAGGCATTATGATCTCATCTCTATTGCGTACAGCCGTTAAATTCCCGATAGGGATCACTTTAGGTGTCTTAAAACCATGCGAAAGTCCCCCCAAACCTCCCGATCCTCCGCAAAAATCGATGTGCTTCAAAACTTAAGTCTTCAAGACGCTCTCCTTGACGGCGGTGTAGAAGTTGTCTCCATCTTATCGCAGTAAGGTAAATCAAGGTTTATCCGTGAAGATCATAGATGGACTTCCATCGTTTCAGAGGGAAACGCCTGGGCACGTGTACTGTCAGCCATCGCATACTCGTCGTTGAGTTGTCGAAGACAAACCAACGCACTATCGACGTGGGCAGCTCTCGCAGTCTATTTCTCAAAAGCGTGTGTGTTGATTCGACGTTGTATACTACCGTTCAGCTGCTGTTCATTTCCTGACACGCAAGTGGGCGAGCCTAATTAACCGATTTTGACGTAGTGACTGCCCGCGAAGGTTCAGATTTCGGTCTTTCATCCATTCTTTCCGCAACAGACACAAAACAAACCGAGTTATACTTAATTTGTGAAACTGAAGCGAGTAGCTACCTCCTCCATAGTTTTAAGGATATCCCGTCATTGGGTCATCTTCGTTTAAATGAGACAAATTGCGTGTGTAACCACAACATAATTCTCATTCAAACGTTAATTATAATAAATCAAACGACGTTTGTAGCTACCATCTTTAAATTATCTGTTGAAGCTCAAAATATTGCATTTATGGCAGCTTCTTCGTCCTATTTCTCATAATTCTAATTTAAGAAACAAATTTTCTTAAAATATGTTCAGAATGTTTCAAGTATATCCTATAATTCGTTAGCAAGTATGTAATAATAGAGGTTTTGTGTGTGCGTGTGAGTGTGCGTGTGTGCGTGTGCGTGTGTGTGTGTGTGCGTGCGTCTGCGTGTGTGTCTGTGTATGTCAGAGCTTACCTTTGATGAGTACACGGCACGGGAGTTGAAGCTACTCCTGAGAAGGGAGACATTAAATTCAATAGGAACATCACCAAAACCAGGAATCTTATAGGCCCCAGGACCGCGAGTAAACAGAAATCCATCCGGAGACACCTTCTGTTGTTCCATCATCATCAGACCGTAACCCTATTTAGATAATAGTACAAAATACAGAAAAATGATCTATTGTCGATGAGGCCGATATCAAGTATAAAAAGATTTGTACTGATATAAGAATAAGAATTTTAAGTCAATGACTTACGAGACTTAACATTATGAATGAGGTCTCTTGGAATATTGGGATATTGTTTTTTTTGTTTTTTTTTTTTTTTCACCAAGACCAGTGTATCATGTGTTACGGGAATTCTTGGGCAATTTTCGGAGACTTTAAAAAAAATCTTAGACACAGCTGTAGTTCAAATACACTACAGGTAAATACTTACTTAGGTCAACTTGTAATTATCATACAAATCTTAAAAGTTAGAAGTGAGCAGTGACTCAAGCGTATACATTCCTGCGTTTGCATATTTGAAAGGATTCTATTCATGAAACTTCAAGGACACAGACTGTAATTTAGTGGTATAGATTGGCATTTGACCTTACCCTTATTGAATGACCTCTAAAATCGAACCAGGTGATTGTCTTGATAGTGTAATACTGTGATGTGAATAAGAATACATCTTTAAAAGGCTGTACAGAGACTGTAATTTTAAGGCACTTAACCTTAAGAGATGAACAAAAGAACTTATTCATATGTATAATTTCATGATACAATAACGCATGTACGGAGGGACGGACGGATGTCAGATACAGTTATTGATATATTAACCCTGATTATGTGGAGATATAAGATGATAAAGGTTTCAATACATAAACCCGTCGGATAATGAGAAATCGTCTGTGCGCATTTGATTTCTTATCTATATCTGATTGAAAAACGTATATCTTGAAGGTGATACCTGAGGTATTCACCAGATTTTTTTCTTCCAGAACGATGTCAATTAAACTGACGCTAAATTATTTCAATTGATTTTAAATTGTAAACATATAAAACCTAATAAAAAATTAAAACCAATATCAATAAAGTTAACTTAATGCTAGGAAAATATTATTGTACACGATTTATGTATGCTTCAGTATTATACGAAACAAATATTAAAAGATAAAACTATACACATACAGGTATAAAAACTCTTGATACGTTGGTTGCTGATTCGCTTTTTATTGACACCGCCATCTTGTTTCCGCTATCCAGGAAACAGATGACATTTCAACATGATTTCGGAACTACGTCGTTTCCAAAATTTATGTTTTTGTACTACAACAAAAGTCAGTGAATGTATCAAACCTATTTTTACAAAGTGAAATTATTTTGTAACAATCACGTTTATCTGTTGAGCGTTATGAAGATAGAATGAAGTAGGCGATACATGATTTGGACATTAAATAACGTATATTTTGGCAGGTAAACCTCGTACTTTGGTCCCCGGGGGTCAGATAATCTTATTTCAGATCAAATGCTGTTAAGTCGTTATGGTCATTAACATAAAAAAACTCAGATGTTTTTTAAACACTTATTTAATTATCGTGAAAAGCTAACCGTTCACAATAAATATGTAAGTTTATTTAAATCGCAGACATTGTCTAGATTCTTAATAACGAGCATTCTAGGTCATTTACTATTATCAAATATATACTAGCACCCCTGAAAAAAGGTTATGTAGAGTGGGTATTATAAATTCATTTTTAACCTTGAGCTAAAGTTTCAAGATTATATGATCAGTGCATTCATTCACTATTAATAACTTGCTTAATTCATATATACTATCTTACTATTTAAATGCCCTTTTGATATGCCAACCTCTCGTGAACTTTCCGCTTAAGTAGGAGCTGTGTTGTGACAATTACATTGACCGACGCTTTAAGTCGGTTTTGAATGGTTCATAGATATATTACCTGTGTAAATGCCCCTTCTATCTGACCTATGTCAATGGCTGGGTTCAGACTGGTACCAACATCCATCACAATGTCTGTTCGCAGCACCTAAAACACATTGAACTATTAAATCATTCTGACAAATGTGCATGTTGTCGTATTGAAATGCGTCTCCTTCCTTCTAGAACATCAGAAAACACCACAAAAGGTAACAAGCAGGAAAAAAATTCGATGTGCAGTTCTAAATATTCCTAATTGAACAAGACATGACACGCTATTCGCACTCTAGTCAGGTGAACCTGGAAAATAAAAACATATAGTTGCCGCTTCGTCCGTCTGTCCATTTCTCCGTCCGCCCGGGTGTCTGTACGTCTTACCCTCTGCCCTTTCGTGTCCAGAGCATAACTATGCACACGATTAAGCAAGGATAATGAAATTTGGTGTTAAACTTGGTCATACTAAGACAATGTGTCTAGTACCAATTTCAGGGCCAACGACCTCTTGATTGCAGAGTTATTACACAATTGTTTCCATAACATAATGTTGCTCGAGTTCAGCAAGATAATGAAACTTGGTGTATACATTGTTTATACTGTACCAAATTCAGATACGAAATACTAAGACCGTGTAAAGTGAACCGAAACTCCTTAATTACTGAAATTTTTTGGAGGAGCAATAGTCAGTTTCATTAATAATAATAACAATTTAAAGGGATTTGGCCACAATATCGTTAAAATCCGTTACATCATATTCTAAACAACACTACCACTTGAATCGCGCCGCTCAAATATGTCTCGATACCTGTTTTAGGCAAGCCAAAGTACTCGTATACATGAAAATTTTAATTAGGTGACCGCTCACGAGGTACATGTTACGGCAAAGTGTTACTTCGCCTACTTGTGGAATGTACACGGGTCGACGATATTTAATTATACATAAACGACGAACATCTCTGAAGACATGACTGTAGTGATAATAGTTCATACTGTTATGGAATAACTTTTTGAAATATAACATTGAATATGAGTATACAGGTTTTCATGAGTTTTCATGTTTTCGGCTCGTCAGATTCGGAGGTACAAGATTGTTTTGTGACAAAACTATTTACACACGTACACGTATACGAAGTTCCATACAGGTGTGTGTGTGTGTCAAAAAACGGAACATTAGCAAGTGGATTATTTGGATATCAAAGAAAAAATACTAAAAGATATGAATCCCGGCAACAATTTAACAATTAATGAATGTAAACTAAATACCTTGACGAATTTGAGGATTGAGATTCCTTTACTTTTTCGATACGAATTTCTATAATGGCTCTGACAGGCCATGCGTGATATGGAAATGTTGCGATAGAATTTGCATACACACAAGTCCAGAGATTTACGTGTATATATTTTTTTCAGAACACAAGAAACAAAAATTGAGTCATACTTCACAGTTATGAAATTATTTTCGAAGCAGGGTGAAATGGCTGATATATATGTACGAAATTGCATGTGTTGTAGGTGTGTGTTGGCACTAGTGGGCCAATATGCTGTACTTATGAAAACAGTGGTCCCCGAACACGGTCTGTTTTGTTTATATTGTAATTATAACAGGTTCTTAACGGAAACAGACTACAATATAAAACCCGTGGATAATTATATGTACGAAGACAGTATTCCCAAAAGTTAATATCTTCATTCGGTTTCGCTGTTGTCTTCTTTCCTTGCCTTTCACAACATGACAAAATCTAGTGAAATGTAACTATTGACTGTAGTTATTTAAGATCTAGACTTTGAGCGAGCTCGGAGGAGGTCGTTCACGTAAGTGAATCTAGTCGTGTCCAGTAGTTACATTCCTTTCAAAATAAATCTAATAAGGCAGAGATCACCTTCAATACTTTAATTTTCGTTGTCATACATCATTACGTACACTTACAATTATATATGAAATTATGTTTTTCCTTGAAAGTGATTTTAAACATTCTAAAGGAATATAGGCTTGGCCATTTCAGACTGAAATATACCATTATGAAAGGCATGGTCGACGCTCTTTCAAAAATGATCTCATTTATTTCTCAAAAAGACACATTCTATTTAGATTTATTTAGTTTGGAATGTATTAAAGAATTATAAACATGGGAATTCAAGATTTTCATAGTAGTCATCCAAAATAATTCCAAATGTATCAGAATGGAGTCTTGTCCATACTATTACTGAGTGACACAATCATTTAGTTACAAAATAATAAAAGTTTAAGAAGTAATTTGCATTTCGTATTCATAATTAGTAATCTCAAATATCTTAAACCATGATGTTTAAATTGAGTGCAGCATACCATTAATTTGCTCAAGATTGTAAACATGTAATAATATTTGTGATGTTTTAATTTCTCTGGACTCCAGTTCTGTAGTGGATGAAAACCTTAAGTGGCACTATTAGGGTAATGGAAGATGTAACAAAGCGTTTCTGTAGATGTAGCTGAAACCATTATCCATTCCTCGAATATATATATGTATGTTTTTTTTGTTTTGTTTTCTGTTTTGTTTTTTTTTTTTTTTTTTTTTATTTATTTCTAATAGTTGCCAAAACTACTTAATATGCGAAACAACTAATAAATATTCTTGTTTTTGCTTCTTGATACCTGGGTTTAATGTCCCGTAAACTGCCAAAATAATGTTTACCTCGACTCAAACCCATGTCTTTAGAGGCTGGGTCAATAGCAGTTGCATATTCTGTATATTGCTATAAGCTGTAATATTGTCCTTCGGTGAGTTTCACATGCATCGGATACATTTGCGTTTGAAATGAATAAAGTGCAAGCGGAACTCGTGGTGCCTGCACATTATACTATACATGATTACTTAATAGGTCTCTTTCCTTTCTGTGAAATTACCACTTTCCGGTTGGGTCATGCTTAGAATGTTGTCATGCAATATGACGTCACTTACAGCGGATATGATATTATGCTGTATTATAATCTTCTATACTTTTTGCCTGTTTTGACAAAAGAGCAGTGTGTCTCAGCAATGACCCGTTCAACGTCTAAGTGGCAACAAGCGATGTTATCATGGGGTAAGAACAGAAACAACGAACCGGAACCAAATCGAATATACACGTAAAAAGCCATTATTGAAGTTAAGCAACCGAGTATCAGCAGATATTCCTTTATCAAAACCTATTGACAAAGTGTCATAACAGCGTTACAGTCAGTGGCAATGGAATAACGACTCAGGTAAGGTCAACATTGCAACAGCGTATCTTGTTACGGATACACAAATTAGCTTCTTGGGTGGAGCATTAACTCCATTGCATCAATATTATTGTTCTTTCTATTCCCACAAATACTGAGTTGTTGTTGAACTCACTTATGCAAACGCAATCTTAGTGGGTCAAATAATTCACCTCTAATTCCTCCAATTAAGACATACTGCAAATGTTTCTAATTTACTCTAGTCTCTTAGGGTCGGGATCATATTTACGCCTTAGAACCCAGACATACTCTAATTCTTACCGATACACATTTAGACTCAAACTTATAGTAAGCGTTGATTTTACCAAGCAGTTACATATATAGACGGTTCATTCTTGACTGTGAGAAAGGCGTACTATCAAAACAGCATAGCTTTGAAAACGTTTACCTTGTGATCACCTGTTAAACAGTCAATCTCTACCTCTGAACATGCTGCTCCAAACGTGAAATAATTAAATACGCGTCCATCGTTTGTTTCAAAGTCATAACCCAAATCAGGTGTTCTATAAACAGAACGAAACAAAAATGATGATAAATTGATGGACGATAATTAGCGAAATGGCATGCTCTATATCACGCATCTTAACTCCATACCAGAAAGGTGTTTAGTAAATTAAATTAATTTAATATGCAGTGAATCTAACTTGGAAAATACTTAAAGTGAGCTCATTTTTTAGATGATTTAAACCATGTAAACATTTCAACCAAAATGACAAATATCTCTTGAGATGGAATTATTTACCAGGAAAAAAGTCATGTGTAATTTAATAAAATGGGTTAAAACATTATTTAACATAGTTAACAAAAATCAATGCAATTTCTAACCTAGAAGATATTGGTTAAATAATGGCCTCAGTAACATGATAATTTTGTGTTGATTCCTTCTTATATAAATGTCGCTATTCAAATTTTAAATGATCAGTCAAATATCAAAAGTTCATATAATACAGTTAATAGAAGAGCTTTTTCCTTATCCGGGATATTGGAGAACAATTAATTTTCCTAAATGCTTATGATAGTCTTTTCAGGATATACCTCGTGTATAACTATGATTATGATTTCCTTGACTGTCGACTAGGCTACAACTGCAGTAGTTTTCAAGGGTTGTTCGAGGCCAGGTTCGTGCAAATATCGTGCCTTTACTCCCTTTCCACACTTATGGAATGGATCGCTTTGATGAATCTATGCAGATATTTTTTTATAGTAACAGCTCATATTCAGTTTACAATAAACCTTGGAATCTGAAAATGATATTCTGTTGTTTCAAAAAGATAGCGTTAGGGTGAGGGTGCCTTTTGCACCCTAATCGGTGCCCAGAATGATGATAACCAAGTTTGTAAGTTTGAAAAGATATGTGCAGAGAGTAACATTTTTTTCTCATATTGCATGTTATTTAAACTTTAGATTTATAATTGATAAAGTTTTTTTGGCTGAGCCTTCCAGCGTGTTTTCTCTGACATGACATTATTGAATATATTGTATTTTTGTTTTTTTGCCGAATTAAGGTCATAGCCCTAAGACACCGACTAATTAGTGTTGTAAACAAATATCAACCAAAAAATCGTTACTTCATTCAACTGAAAGTTGAAACTAATTTGGAATATTTGGAAAATAAAACATTCAATGAATTCAATTTACAGAAAATCGCAATCTAACTGTTATGCCCTCTCAGCTTTGGAGTAATATCAAAGGTATAAGGTATTACAATATCTACCTATATTTCTTAATCTTGTGTACAGAAAATAGTATAACTTTGTGATACGATGCCTACAAGGTAAAGGATATCAACTATTTATGTTGCATTGACGTTTAGATTTCTTATCATTATAAAAAAATTAAAAGAAACTTGATATGATACATGTAATAGACATATGATGGGTTACAGCAGAACCATGTATTGACTTACTTATAAAATGTGGAGACTGACAGGCTCACCCGGTCAAAGTAAGCAGCAGTAACCTATAAAAATAGATATTGTAAAGCAGTAGTCAGGAAAAAACGGTTGGTTTTCAAAGACATTACGAAAATCTCATTCCATGTTATAAGTTGACATATATTATACATTTGGAGCCTGGAATCGAAGGCAATTAACAGGCTTGGATTTGTGTTTTTTATGGTTTTCATTTTATGCCATGGTTTCTTTTCTTTATAATTTTCATTATGTTCTTACCCATTCTTCCCATGTCCCCTTTGGATTCTGAGATCTGTATGGCTCAATCCTCTCAAGAAGAATCTCGCATGCATTCTATTATTACAGGAAAAGAAAACCACATTAAAGTTTTACTGCGACGTATTCAACAAAGATGATGACAACAATTAGATTTTCTACAAAGATCACGAGTACACATTTGCTCAATACCGTAACTCTAACTCAGATGTTCCGGAAGAGTAAGCGTTTTCTGCTTTATCGATGACACCTGCCGCATATTTATATCACCTTTCACCTTTCGTGCAGAGCTGACACGCATTATGTTATCAAACTCAAATTAATTAAGTATATGTATATGATACCAGACATTAATAAAGTATATATATATAACTTAAAAAAAACAAACTCAAATCTTTGGAAGACTTGGTTCAAGACAATGAATTCGTGTCAGTAGATGACCTACTTTCACACATGAAGGTTATTTAAAAAAATCGAAATAAACCCTGCATGTTTCCTAAGAAAGGAACAGTCAAAGCAATGAATAAGCGAAAATCATTTCCCGTTGATCCGATGCGAAAATCAATAATCGTTTCAAACATTTAAAAACTAAGTGTATCATTAAATAAATTTCAATATATATGTCCAACATTTACACTGTAGGCAGTACAGGTTCACTTTGTCCAGTCGAAGTAGTTATTCAAATAAGCCCAGTTTTAACCTTTGTTCTTTTAATACAATCCTACTGCTATACAGAGTAATAAGTTGTAATCTAACAACAATACAGACAGTAGCTAACCTTGATGGCCATGCCATTAAGATCCGAACTGGCACTCGCAGCAGTCGGTGAAGTGTTTGGAATGGTGTTTGTACTTGTCTCACTGATATGAATCTTGGACATTGAAATATTTAGTGCTCTACAGGCCACCTGGAAAAATGCATTTAATAACGCTCAACAAATACACTTCATAAGGCAAAAATCGAGCAAGAAGGGAAAGGAAGAGGATAGGAGAACGACGAGGAAATAAATGGAGGTGAGGGTTAGAGGAAAAATAGAAATGGGAATGGAAGGAGAAAGTGTAACGGGAACAGAGAGGAAAGAGGAAGGAGAATATGAAGAGCGGATACGAGCCAGGAGGGTTTGAGGGAAGTGAAGCAAACCGTGGAGGGAAGTTGGGGAGAAAAAGTTGAAAAGGGAAGGAATTAGAATAACAAATAGAAAAAAGAAGAAAAAGATGGAAAATGGTTGTTGGTTGAAAAAAGCGAGAGTTTCGAAAGAAAAAGAAAGCGACATAGCGGAAAAGAGGAAAATTACATCATAATGACATTAACCAATTTAATCAAATCCAAATAAATTAAAAATTACCTCCAAATAAACTATGAACCATTTCTCATCAGCGTACCTCAGAATATTTTTGCTATTTCCCAGATAAATAATACAAATTATATGTTTGTAACGTAAGAACTTGCTGCTTGTTAACAGTGATTAAAAGATATTAGTGTGTTACACACCTGAGTCATCTTAGTGTGCAGGCCCTGGCCCATCTCTGTACCACCATGAGCGATCAGAACAGAGCCATCCCTGTAGATCATGACCAGTGCACCTGCCTGTGACAACATAGCGTGGTTAATTAAGCTTTAAAACATATGAGCCTATTGTATCATTCATTTATTCCCCGCTTCAAAAGCGAAGACTTTCGAAATACCCTTTGCTACAAAAACTTTGTACTTTTGCTATCAGTTTAAATGAATATTATTAATTACAGCTGGTAACTTAAGTATGGCTAAGACATTTTCAGCATGTCTGTACTTGCTTTAAATGTTTTGGATGTGATATAACCACTAAATCCTATACTATTTGTTGTGCTGATCACACGTGATATCAACATCATTTAAATGTATAATTTGCCAATGGATCAAGACAAAATTGAAGATCGTTTGGTTACTCTAACGCACATCAGGAAAATATGGTTTCACTTCCAATCGGGAAATAAAACTCTGCTCGCCTTAATAAAGGGTGACTGTGTTTCCACTGTATCAACCGACCACCCACAAAATACTGTTGAAGGCGAAACACTAACTGATTATTTACCAGTTTTTATCTGAACTGTACTGGTGAAAAGACATAAATTGATTCACAAGAGGACAAATAGGCACGAGTAAAAAGGTAAACATCCCCATGATGAAATACTAGGTTCACGAAAATTTGAACACAAATATATATATCAATAAATCAAATATAAATATTGGCATCGTTTATTAAAGCAAAATCATCCTATATTAGGTTTTCTTAGCTCATTGCTATACACTCAAATTATTTATTTATTCGAAAAGCAAGGGATACTGCGTTCCATTAAAAGGAGGAATTCCATCAAATTGGCAGGTGTAATATTGTACTATGAAAACATTTTCTAAATATTAGAAGGTGTTGATAGCCCAAGACATTTCGTTCCTTAGATACATCTTCCAGTCTATCCGAGGGATCAAAATTTTCTTGTACGATAATTCATGGAACAACTACATTGTTGTAATTGCTTTAGCATGCTAAACATTATGTTGAATGTTAAGTGCTTAGTTTTATACCGTTATATATCCTAAATGAAAATAAATAATATAACACGTTAACAGAATACTGTTATTCCGTTATAAATATGTGATAAAATTAGCATGCTTTTATGATTTGCATACCTGATTCATAAATTTGGCTGTGAAAGATATCCCAAACTTGACAGGTATAACAGAAATACCTCGTTTTTTCCATCTGTTTTCACTACAATATAAAGAAATGGTGATAATTATTCTTAATTTTTCTTTTATTTTTGCGCAGTTTGTTCAGGTGTTTTCATCGGTGGGATTATTTATATTTCGGATTTCATTCCATCATTATGGAAATAAAAGTTGAACTGGTAAAAGCAAACTACGCTATAGCTTCCATTAAGATTCTTGTTCACTGTATTTGATAAAAAAAAATCATTAAATGACAACACAGTATATAGGAATTTTTGGAATGCAATGACCCTAACTATACATTGTGCTAGGAATATAAATTTACAGGAGCTAAAGTTTTTTTTTACCTTAAAGAAAAACATTTCAAGGTCAAAAGTTACAGAATATCACTATCCATTATAGCCACCCTGTTGTATATTTTGATATACCCGTCGTCTTATACTATTGACCAGACGCCAACATTTCTTCCGAAACAATGTTTGTCATTTCGTAATCAATGTGTGGCATTTTTAATCCCGTATATGGTTCCACATACGCTCAATTGGGCTCATGTCTGATGACTTCTTGTTGGAAAACAGTCTTGCATTAGCCGGCTCTATGTGGTTTGACATTGTCATCTATTAAGATAGGCCGATATGCCGATTGCTCAAAATCTGATATCGATGCCACTGTCCACAAAGGACATGCAAACGATGGTAGAAAGCATCCCAAAAACTGTAACACCGTCACCAACGAAAGCTTTTGTTACCAGAGTATGAACTAGATGGTATGGCGTATGTCTTTATTTCAAGACACGGAACCTGCCGTCTGTCCGACGAAGTAAAAACGACTCTCATCAGATCAGAGGACTTTTCGTCAAGACCTTATATCATATAATCAGTTGTAAAGTACACTTAGTTTAGTTTCTTTGTGCCAAAAACAATAAAATTGCCATTTGAACGTACAGCTACTTGCTTGTTTGCCCTACTACTTTGAACCATTCATAGAACTTGCCATCTTTAATCATGTGTCAATTAATTAACGTGTCATTCTTAAATTAAGTGTCAGCATGTGTGTGATTTACCAGTCATATACGTGCAATGATGACAAAAGAAACTTGGGTTTTGTTGAGAGTACAGGGTACCAGTTTAAACCGGGCTATCGTTAGAGTGCATGTATTGTGTGGTGGCATATGACCCAAAAGAAAAAATGCAAGAACCAAGACAAGGGTTATTTTTACAAAAGGGACAATAAGTTTTCACACGTGACATTGATCCCTACCGTATGCCCAAATATATATATCACTGATATCCATGTATTATATATGATAGAATGTAAAGGATCAAACATAATTCATTATTTGTGGCATTCAATATATCAAAATCATTGCATTAAACTTTAACGTTTGAAACGTATTGATTTGTTTACTGATCTCCTAATGTAATAATCTCAAACTGTCACAGCAAGGTTTTCTCGTATCAACTCACTTTAGTACTCAAAAAGCACAATTATATGATATTAAAATGCAAATTTTAAGCAAATACTGAATATCTTTATTTCGTTGTGGCGTTCCATTTGGTATAAAAATTCTTCATTTCAAAACATGAATATTATGGTTTGAAAGATGTGTAAGTGGTCTTGAAACTAACAGACAGAGGTACAGACCTGTTAAAAATTGCGACTTCACAACACCTGTGATTGGCTTCGCTGCTTTGTAGACATTCGTCCCAGCAACGGCGTATGTTGCAGTTTTCAAGCTTCTGGTTAAAGTGGGTCAAATCTCCCTCGCTATACATGTTTACTTCACGGACCTGGGATAAAAAGATAATTAAACCAAGGTAAATAATATCAAAGAGATATAGAAGTGGATCTATTTACCAATGCAAGCCACAGCTTGTTAGGGAAACTTTGTAATAGGCCAAACCAGTATGATGAACTCATTGTCAAGAAGATCGTTGTACCAAACGAAACCTCTAAAGGAAAATTTGTCAAATTAGGATTGTGAGATGTTATTGCACCATAGCAAAACTGTTTTCGTGTGAAAAATCAACACACAAATATCAACATGACAACATAATCATTAATCACAAGTTTGCAAGGACATCTCAAAAGAAACACTTGCCATGTAAATCTTTGTCCATGAAGGTAAGAAATGCGATGTTCTCAAACAAGTACAATGTATGCACCGACAGCCAAAGGAACAAGCATAACGAACGTCTAGCTTACCTGCTAAGTGCCTGTAAAAAACAAGTATTACTGGGTATCACTGGAAAAAATATCATCATGATACCTTACCTTGATAGGGGACATATCTAGGGCAGCTGCGATGTCAGCAATATAAGTTTCAGATACAAAATTGCCCTGTGGTCCACCAAAACCGCGGAAAGCAGTGTTGGACGGTATATTTGTCCGGCATAAGCGGCCTGTTACTCGCATATTTGGAATTTTGTAGCAGCCGTCACAATGAAACATTGCTCGCTCCATTACCTGTACAGAGACAAAATACTCATCAATTTCCCTTGCTAAATTGTATCAAGTCACTTGTCAAACGTGTCACAAACTCTTATTGCCCTATTATTATCACTGATTACAGCGTCTTAGATAGGATGAGAGGCAATAACTTAAACGTTTTTAAAAAGACACAAGTAATTTTGTCGTAATAAGACTCGTCGATGATGCGAAAGGCCTAAAATTATCGGTTGGTCTTTATAGGTCCAGTGAAAAACTCCACATGGAAAGATTGATATTACATGGTTAGACAGTTCCAGATTACTTTATTTAATATTGCAACATTACCAAAGTATTCAGCATTCATGCGACGTCCGCATAAAAAGAGATTCGGCAACTACTCTAGCAGATTATTTACAGCTCGAGACTGCCCCAGAAAGCAGAATACCGAACAATCACATTACGGATTACTTACAGGTCTAGATAAGTCCAGAGAACAACCGATGTTGGAGTATAATTCCAGATCTAGTGCCAGAATCCTTGCGTCTTTTGTAAATCCTACCTAGGATCAACAAGCACTAATTTTCATAAGCAGAAAATCATGAATATGCTATGTTTATGGCACATTACTTGTGTGTTCCGTATCGAAAATATAGATTTCTTGTTGTCAAAATGTTGCTCCATAAAGGTTGTTTCTAGTCTCTACATTTATATTGATAATTAGAACGTTAACTTTCATTCATCACTAAATCAGTAAGATTGATTCTTGTGATATATGTAAATACAAAGATGCAAGATGTTAAAATAATATAATTGCAAGTATCTTTCACAAATCATGTTGACGAAAAAATATATGTAAATTTCTTTTCTTTTTTAGTTTTTGTAGATCATGTAATTGAGGGAAAACAACAATCAAATAGTGTTTGATGTCCCTTCAGTGGTGTGGAATGAAACGAGCGGTTGAAAAATATGAACATGCAGACTACAGTTATTACAGTATTTTATAACTTTGATTGTTTTGAAATAAACATTGTTTATTGATATTTAATCAAGAAGCTATGGGGCTCTCAAAGATCAGCTAGATTTCAATAATTGACGTTTCTCTCTTAGTGGGTTTTTTTTCTGGAATCTTTTACGCATTTTTTTATTTATTTATTTATTTTTTTTGTCATAGTATGATTTGCTGTGATTCATCGAATATAATAACCATTGAAATTAAAAAAGGAAATCACATAGACTAGATGTTGACAAACTTGCTAACCTTGTATGTAATAACAAAAATAATTTTGTGGTCAATCATCTGTTTTACAGTTAAGTTGTTCTTTCAATGTGTTAGACGTTGTAAAGTCACCTTTGTGATGACTTCCAACACCATAGGATGTATCCGTATACTGAGAGTTCCATAGCCTAACAATTGGTATACTAATGCCATATCCTTACCCCTAACCCTAACACCATTTTTAAATACATAGCTACGTGGTCATTGTTATACACAATTTTGACAAATGGAATCGAATGGAATTCGAAAATATCTCAGGATTGCCAGGTAGTATTTTGATTATGCAAGATACATAGTCGAAGAAAGATGACATAAATGTGACAGGATCTGCTTAAAGTTTGACCAATACGAAATATTTTCAACATATTAAAGCTAGCATTACACGTAACAGGATCGCACAATATCATTTTCACTGCGTTTTGAGAATTGTAACAACAGGAAAATAAGTGATTATTCTTTTGTTCCACCAAACTAAATTTTTAAAGAACAGCACAATTGAATTTGCGCTAATTAAGCGAAAACTGAAGCACGTATCCCATTTATGATTAATTATTTGCCAGGGATATAGCGGAGATATTGCCGACTGATATGCCATACGGTAAGTTTAATTTACTGGTCGATAAATAGTTTGATTTGATAAATTTGTAATTTACTTCTATAGTATCAAACCTTCTACCAAAAACATATCTTCTGACTATGACAGTAACATCATCCTCAATAGTTTACGGGATGTGATTCAGAGACTGGAACTAAATAAACAAATGGTTGAATGGACCGCTTAACTAATGAAAGATATATTTCTAAAAACGGCAAACTATTAACTACGTTTATCCCCTTCATGTATAAAAGACAATGTACTGAACAGTGTATAAGCTTTATTATCTTATGATTACTATCAATTGATCAATTATTAAAATATATCAATTTTAAACATGCGTAATCGTCTTTCATTACCTTGAACTTGCCATAGAAGGGATGCCTGCAACCTGAAGAAAGCATATCCTCATCTCTATCCAACATACATTTCACTGGGCGACCAAGCCTATCAAAATATCAAGTGGCAGTTCACCAATTGACTGAATTCGGTACAAATATGTAGTGAACTAATTGACTGATTAAAAGCTCAGCGACGTATTAGTTGCCGTGACACTTAACGCGACATTTTACCGAAAAATGCATTTAACAAATATACAGTTACATATGTACAGTGAAACTTTAGGTGGCAACTGAGTCTTTATCACATATAAAGTTAAAATTGACCACACAACAGAGTCTGCACTACGGCAACAGTGACAGAACACATCGCAATCATGTATTTGATACGTAAATAATGACTCTTCATCATTTAAATGAATCTATAGCAAATATACTCTCACACACTATTCAGGTACTGAATCTATAACAAACTTATACAATGGAAGTTCTCTAAGCAGCTGGGTTTTGTGGGAGCTGGATAGTCAATAGCGGCTATGTCCCCCATTCGCTCTCAGATTAGTAACTCTGACAATCAGTCCATTTCGATTTCAGATTACAGAGTTCTCTTTCAATTCCATTCAATTACTTAACCTGAATCATTTAGCAGATACAAATCGTTGATTTTGCAGTTTGTTCTGTATGAATTAATCTTCATTCTTAATTAAAATATTGAACATTATGCTTGACGTCTTGCATATAATCATCTTCAAGTTTACCCCGCGTTTCTTTATCCCTTGGGTATAGTTAGAGGGTGGAATGTTAATAGGAAAGCAATAGTTTACTTACTTTTCTGCCGCTACGGCGACTGGTATACTATAGATCACACTCCGTGTCTCCTTCCCTCCAAACCCACCTCCTAGAAAAATATATAAGATCGAGATATTGGAATGCATATTCATAATCATATAAACTTCTACTTTCTATATGAAATTAGCAGTGTACAAACAAGTTCGAACAATCTAATTAAAATTGAACAAGAAAGAAGGTAGCTTTCATATTGATTATATTAGTCACGTGCACATGCTTATGGTAAGGATCCTTATCTTTTTTATTTTCTTTATATATTTTTAGTTTCGTTTCTTATTTAAAAAATACTAAATTTTACTTTGTAAAGTAATGTAATTCTTTATCAGGAAAGATAGGAAATATCTTTTTATATGATTTTTCACGAAATTTTTACAAATTTGCGATTTAACGAATAACTCTAAAGTTTCAATTCCATCATTAACGCCTATATTCTCACCCATTCTCTTGACACGTATGACAATCTTATTTTCTGCAATACCAAGGGCACGAGCTACCATCATCTGTGGGAAAGGGTAAATAAGCTCTTAACATCCACAATGTCGCCAAATATATATCCGTCATTAAGATATTTGCTATCGTACATAATGAACACATACATATATCAATGTTTTCCAGAATAACTAACTATGGTTTGATTTGACTCTGCATTTTCATTTTATACCTCCCTTTTATAATTTTTCTTCAATTAACAAATGGTATAAATAACAGACATTAAGGAATACTTTTTTGAAAAGATAAACGTTTATGCCCGGATGTAAGAACAGATCATATTTGTTTTTGAGAAGGAAGTGTCCGCTGGATTGTGTGTTACCAGTTTGATGTCAACAGGGTCGCTGAGCCTGTCAATTATATAACTATGTAGTTATTGGAGCCGTGAAGAGTTGTGTTGCCCTTTGCAGTGTCAGTTTAGTACTATGTTACTTTAATGGTGACGGGAGGGTTATGTTATTAGTGTCATCTGTCTGTCGGTATATTTTTAACAAGATTGTGTGTTATCAGTCAAACTTCAGCAGGCTTTTGCGAAACATATCCAGTTTCATCAGGAATGACTCTGTCATGTCGCCAGTATTTTTCATTACAGTAGAATCAAGAGTGTTTTGTCACTTGTTACCTGAGTTTCGGCAGGATTTTGCGTAGAAACAAACATTTCCATTTCTCCATCCTCATATTTTGGTACAGCCAGCGCAGCGTTTGTCTCTAGATAAAAGTGTTCTTGTCCCCCGATATGCACCTCCCCTTCGATTATGTGATCACTCATTTCAAATCCTTCTCTCAGGTTACCTCTCTCAATCACCCTTGGCTCTCCGTGATATGACTTGGCAGCAATGGCCTCCTACAGAAAGAAAAGATAAATTTGCTGCAGTCGTATTCAGAGAAACAAATGCCCTATTTTGTCATAAACAACGCTAATTAAAACTTTATTCCGTAATCCTGAAACATATATATGACACAACATTGACTCGTTGTTTTGAATTAAAATTAGGCATTAAATCTACAGGTCACAACCTAATTTCCATCTACATATCCGGTATTGGTAAATGTTTCCACGTTTTAACACTTTTGTAGTGAAGAACAACATGTCACAGTAATACCCATAGATTTTATATGTAATTGGCTAGGCAAAGTTCGCTTATTTTCTTTTGAAGCTTAGTTTGGATTTGTTCACTCCTCTCAATCAATGTCATATTGAGTTTGTAAAAATGTATATTGATCTGCCAAAGCATTATGTCATATCAAATAAATTGTTTGGTGACGCAATACTTTATTAACATTTTATTTTATTATATAATCAAGACCGAATTTCAAATCCTGTCATTCTTATAGAAAAAAAGAATATGTTCTATTTCTGTCAAAAAGTATGGTGTTGTCAGTAAAGTATTTGTTAGTTATTCAGTACCATAGAGTGGTGGGCTTAGTATCCTATACAGTGATCAGGATATAGTACACCTATCCTGTAGAGGTTACCGGAGGTCCCTGGATAGAAATTGAGTTAGAAATTAGAGTCAGAAAGCAAGATTCACTGAGGCGTAACCAAATCATGCAACACAGGTAAGTGCTACCTGTGTGTGCAGTTGTTTCAACCCCGGACTTGTACTAGGAAGGTTCTCCAACGTTATAGGCTTGATGCCAGGGGCGTGGATGCATAAGCTGTGTGCTTAATATATTGTAATGTAAGGTTACCACTGCTGTGTGCCCAAAGTAAGTCCAAGTGCAGAGATAGTTGGAGTCACCATATGAAAGCTGTGTGCTGGTTTGGGCTCATGAAAACTATGTTACTTGGAGAAGCTATGTTCTGTGCCCACCTATGTGGGAGTCCTGGAAGAAACAGGACGCATGCAAGCTCATTGTCATGACTGTTTCATAAATATTTCTGAATAATTCTACATGACTATTTTCTATCTATATCTGTTTTGGACATCCGCTCATCGATAACGGGTGGTCACTACTGGTTACGTGCACTTCCAACTAAACAATACAACGAGAAATGGACATCTTATGACCCCGTTTGTCATAACAAATGTGTAATATGAAATATTTGAGTGAAGTCAAATAATAAGATAATTAGGACCCACTTTGAATGCATTTCACTCAAGCCTGCCATTTATGATTACATTAAAAGTCCCGATGGCGTTGAAAATTCAAGATGCTTAAGTGAGTTCAGCAACACTATCAATAGTGAGTGTGTCCTTCATCGGTACCAATAACGACACGACATCGGCTTGGCATGCTGCGAACTAGGCGCCATACAAGTCATACTTGATAACAAAAACATTAGCAAGATCCTTTCGGTTGACAAGGTGCCGTGGATGATCGGTAACGCGAATTGGCGAAGGTCCGGTGAAAGACTAGACCAGCCCTCCGCTTGAAGGTACACATCCACAAATTTAGCTCTATGTGGTCGAACATTGTCTTCCATCAGTACAAACTCCGGGCGACAGCGCCCGCAATTGGATGAAGGAATTCATCAGGGTACCGTTAACGTGTGACCACCAATTTCAGTCCGACCATCAAAACTTATCCCTGCCCAAACCATGGACGAGCCCCATCGCAACAGTCATTCTAAATGACGCAGCAGTCACCATATCTCTTGTCCATCCCACGCCAAATACGCCTCCTGGCATGAAAGTCTAGAGAAAACCTGGACACATCCTTCAAATGAATAGGCCGTCACTGACGGAATTGTCAATTCACATGCCGTATGTTACCGAGCTGTGAGCACGTAATCCTGTGCTGTGAAGTCTTTTCCTCACTGTTAGTGATTTTTTTTCTTCCACTTGCTTTACGGTAGTCGTTATTTAACCTAGTAGAACTTGCAAACCGATTTTGCTTAGTAAGAGTGCTTGTATAACGTGGTCTACCCGTTCGAGGTCTTCCGGTGACGTTTCCGGTCATCTGGAATCGATTCCATAATCGACATGACACAACTTGGAGCACATTGAAGTGTACAGCAACTGTTCACTGTGATCGTCCTGCTTACAGAATCCCGACTCCTCTTAAGCGGATATTTAACGTAATTCTGAATGAACTTACAATTATGTATCCACTTCTATTACATTTTATTAGGCGTGCTTTAAAAAATAAATCCAATAGAGAGAGACGTACTCACAAACGGCCGACATATGTCATTCATACGTATATATACCGGTTACCAACATATTGTTTTAAACAGAGCTAAATTGTTACCACAAGCATAACAAAATACGCATAACTGTTATACACACCTTTATCGTGATGATGGGTGAGAGGTCCTCATACTTGACTTGAACAGCTTTAGCAGCCCTCTGGGCATGGGTCTGTGAGTCTGCAATTACAGCACCGACTATCTGCCCCATACACACCACCTGTAACACGCACATATGCATTTAGAATGATCCGCTTCACACCACTTGTTACAAACAAAATTGTATAATTACATCGACGACCTTCTCCAGACCACTTTAATACAAAAAAAGACATTTATATATTGCATAAGGTTTAGTTATATTTGTGTTAATTTCCATGTTATGTTGACGACAGAATACTTGGCCTAGCCATGCAACCTCAGCTACCAGTAGCATACAATAATATGTGTTCAACATTTTAACTATTTCCTCACTGAATAGGTTGCCAAAGGCTTCCCAGGTTCTCATTAGACTTTGAGACTGATGTAAAAGCAGAATCTGAATGATCAGCATGCATGCATTTAAATACCATCGTAAAGATTTAAGAATTATGTGACTGTGTTTCTTTACACACGCAGCTTTTATCCATGTTAAAACACAAATACCGAGAGTTTGTTAGATACTTGATGTTATTTCACTGTAGTATAGGTTTTCTGGGTCAGTATAAGGTGACAGAAAGGTGTCATATTGATGTGTTTTTTCATAGACAGACGACAACAAAACAACGCGCTTGTAAACTCGTTCAATGTCAAAGTTCAAATGAAAATTGTTGGAAACTTTTTTACACACTACGGTAAAAAAACGAAATTTATCTAGTGCCATATCAATGTCACAAACGCATCTGTACATTATCCTCTTCAGGCACTCATGCAACTTTGCATGACCCCTTTTTCACCTTGGAATTCACATCAAACATAACAAACAACTAAACATGATGTTTTTCACACAGGAAATAACACAAAAAAAAAGCTTCTTAACACCAGATGTAACACATAACAGTATCTTTTCTTATTGCCTTATTCACACCAAATGTAGCAAACACAGAAACACAGGCACGTGTTTCTATTCGCATAATATCTAAAAAGATCAGATGTATCTATATAAAGCATTGTTCACATAGAACCAGACAAATACATCTTATAATTGGACTCTCCACATCATATGCAATACACATAAAGATATCTTTATATGTTGTTTATTTTTCACAACAGATATATCACACACCAGTGTATTTAACATGACTCATATAAAACTAAAAAAATGCATCTGTACACGGTCTTTTACAAATATAACACACAAAAATGTATTCTATGAGGCTCACTTCTTTATAGATACTACAAACACAAATCCATCATTAAACTTTTAATATACAAATATGTCTTTATAAATGGTTTTCATTTTGATTGGATTAGAACACTAAAACAAACTGATATACATGGTCCAATTCACACCAGATATAAAAACACATAAATACATCAACACATCGTCCTCTTCACACCAGGTATAAAAACACATACATACATAAACACATCGTCCTCTTCACACCAGATATAAAAACACATACATACATAAAAACATCGTCCTCTTCACAGCAGGTATAAAAACACATACATACATAAACACATGAACCTCTTCACACCAGATATAAAAACACATACATACATAAAAACATCGTCCTCTTCACAGCAGGTATAAAACACACAAATACACAACACATCGTCCACTTCACACCAGGTATAGAAATACATACATACATCAACACATCGTCCTCTTCACAGCAGGTATAAAAACACATACATACATCAACACATCGTCCTCTTCACAGCAGGTATAAAACACACAAATACACAACACATCGTCCACTTCACACCAGGTTTAAAAATACATACATACATCAACACATCGTCCTCTTCACAGCAGGTATAAAAACACATACATACATAAACACATGAACCTCTTCACACCAGTCATAAAAAACATATAAATACATCAACACATAAATACATCACACCAGATATAAAACTCATAAATACACAACACATTCACACACCAAGTATATAAAAACACACATCGTCCTCTTCACACCAGATATAAAACTCATAAATACACAACACATCGACTTCACACCAGGTATAAAAATACATACATACATCAACACATCGTCCTCTTCACAGCAGGTATAAAAACACATACATACATAAACACATGAACCTCTTCACACCAGTCATAAAAAACATATAAATACATCAACACATCGTCCTCTTCACACCAGATATAAAACTCATAAATACACAACACATCGTCCACTTCACACCAGGTATAAAAACACATACATACATAAACACATCGTCCTCTTCACACCAGATATAAAACTCATAAATACACAACACATCGTCCACTTCACACCAGGTATAAAAATACATACATACATCAACACATCGTCCTCTTCACACCAGATATAAAACTCATAAATACACAACACATCGTCCACTTCACACCAGGTATAAAAATACATACATACATCAACACATCGTCCTCTTCACAGCAGGTATAAAAACACATACATACATAAAACCTCTTCACACAGTCATAAAAAACATATAAATACATAAACACATGGTCCACTTAAAACACACAACACATCGATATAAAAACACATAAATACATAAATAACACATGGTCCTCTTCACACAAGATATAAAACACATCAAATACATCAACACATGGTCCACTTCACACAAGATATAAAAACACATAAATACATCAACAGATGGTCCACTTCACACAAGATATAAAAACACATAAATACATCAACACATGGTCCACTTCACACAAGATATAAAACACATCAAAACATAAATACACATCAACAGATGGTCCACTTCACACAAGATATAAAAACACATAAATACATCAACAGATGGTCCACTTCACACAAGATAAAAAAACATCAATACATCAACACATGGTCCACTTCACACAAGATATAAAAACACATAAATACATCAACAGATGGTCCACTTCACACAAGATATAAAAACACATAAATACATCAACACATGGTCCACTTCACACAAGATATAAAACACATCAATACATCAACAGATGGTCCACTTCACACAAGATATAAAAACACATAAATACATCAACAGATGGTCCACTTCACACAAGATATAAAAACACATCAATACATCAACACATGGTCCACTTCACACATGGTCCACTACACACAAGATATAAAAACACATAAATACATCAACACATGGTCCACTTCACACAAGATATAAAACACATAAATACATCAACACATGGTCCACTTCACACAAGATATAAAAACACATAAATACATCAACAGATGGTCCACTTCACACAAGATATAAAACACATAAATACATCAACACATGGTCCACTTCACACAAGATATAAAACACATAAATACATCAACACACATAAATACATCAACAGATGGTCCACTTCACACAAGATATAAAAACACATAAATACATCAACAGATGGTCCACTTCACACAAGATATAAAAACACATAAATACATCAACAGATGGTCCACTTCACACAAGATATAAAAACACATAAATACATCAACAGATGGTCCACTTCACACAAGATATAAAAACACATCAATACATCAACACATGGTCCACTTCACACAAGCTATAAAAACACATAAATACATCAACAGATGGTCCACTACACACAAGATATAAAAACACATAAATACATCAACACATGGTCCACTTCACACAAGATATAAAACACATAAATACATCAACACATGGTCCACTTCACACAAGATATAAAAACACATAAATACATCAACAGATGGTCCACTTCACACAAGATATAAAACACATCAATACATCAACAGATGGTCCACTTCACACGAGATATAAAAACACATAAATACATCAACAGATGGTCCACTTCACACAAGATATAAAAACACATCAATACATCAATACATGGTCCACTTCACACAAGCTATAAAAACACATAAATACATCAACAGATGGTCCACTTCACACAAGATATAAAACACATCAATACATCAATACATGGTCCACTTTACACCAGATATGAAAACATTTACAAACATCAATACATGGTCCACTTAACACCAGATATGAAAACATTTAAATACATCAATACATGGTCCACTTCACATCAGATATGAAAACACATCAATACATCAACACATGGTCCTTTTCACACCAGATATAAAAACACATAAATACATCAACACATCGTCCACTTCAAACCAGATATAAAACACACAAATACATCAACAAATGGTCCTCTTCACATCAGGTATAAAAACATTTACATACATCAATACATGGTCCACTTCACACCAGATATGACAACATTTGAATACATCAATACATGGTCCACTTCACACCAGGTATAAATACATTTAAATACATCAATACATGGTCCACTTCACACAAGATATAAAACACATTAATACATCAACACATGGTCCTATTCGCACCTTATATAACACAAAAAATATCTATATCTTATAATCTTCATACCATATATAACACACCAGATATAAACACTTGTTTCTCCTCTGTACATAGTACTCTTAACGAAGAAGTTTTATCTATGCATAGCCATCTTCACAATAGTTCTATCATACACCAAATCATCCATACATGGTCGTCGAATAGATACAAAACGTACATTGTCATCTATACATAATTCTTTCAACTCGAGATATAACAATTACAAATGCATCTGTTATTTGTAATATTCTCACCTCATAAAACAACAACACGTGCATCTACATATAGTTCTTTATACACCAGGTTCCTTTTCAAGCAAGTTATAAAACAAACAAATAAATTCATACATTGTCATTGCCACACAAGATATAACACACACAAATGCATCTATTATAGTAGTCTATATCGTATAAAAAGTCTAGGAGATGACTTCAGAAACACAAAAGAAGGAAGGAAGGCTGTCATAATCTAACTGGAAAGTTGCAGCATTTCGAAATTTCATTCATCCCATGCTTGTTTTATTAATATAGACAGTATATGTGCAAAATGCCTAAGAAGATATTACCTAACTTAATAATTTGTGGCTGCAATGGACAGGTCCACCACATAAATAGAAGAACTATCCTCTGACACATGAAAATGATACAAATACCTTTTCTGAAGCCATAAATTCTTCATCATGTTCAATTGGACCCCACATATTTTGTCCGGGAATATCCTTAAATGAGATGAAGTCAACAACACCTGGCATCGTCAATGAGACACTTGGATCTACGTTGATAAGTTTGGCATGGGATTTGGTACTGAACACGAATGCGAGGATCAGCTCATCTAAAGAGATAACAAGAATAAAATCTAGCTGTTGATTTTCTCAAACAATTACACATAATTATAGTAAAAGAAAATAAATCAATGCCCTTGATGCATGAAAACCTAAGTATGCAAAATGATAGATAAGCGCAGACAGCGCGATTTTGACGTATAGCTGGCAGAATTCATCTTGTATACTCAAAGTGAGTCATATGATATGCAACATGTTTGATTTATAGGTGGTTTAGAAACTTACATCGAATGGTGGCACAGTATTATATAGCATACATGCGATTACTGTCTTCATGCTACAGTAATATGGTATCACAGATACCAAATACCCAGGTCACCAGAAAGGTAGGTGTACCAGACTAAATGTGACGGTAACCTAACGTATATATGTTGTCTCAATTAAGTTAGCATATATCCTTACGAAATCAAGACACAGTAATGCAGTTGGAATCTGTTCATATCACAATCAGGCAGCACACTTCCTAAATACTTAATGTCGCGCTATGGTAACCCGTTACCCTCTGCATCAACAAACGATGGTTTACCTTTGTAGGGTGGTATGTCATCAACATAGATAGCCTCACCCGTTGCCTGCTTGTATGCAGACAGGTGGTTAAGTGGGCGGCCCAGTGTATCCTCAACAGGCTGGCCTGGAGCAACTTCTTCAAAAATCTGAGCACTTTTGATAGACTCCTTTTGGAACGAATCTGTGGCACTACGATATGAGGACGGCACTTTACTTCCGTTTGTTATGTGCTAAAATAAGAATTTTAAATAAACTTGATTTAACTCTTAACTAAATCCATCTTCATTGATCCACCATTTAGATCATGTTAGTAAAAATATATCGTATAACTATTTTGACTGTTTTGTATAAAGATAAAAACTATATAAAAAGAAAACTTTGGTCAGTCGTAACGTCTTCGTTAGCATATAATTTCAAACCTATATAGTAAGTGATCTATGTTGAAATTTCAACGCTTCGATCTCCCTCTCTAGAGCATTTTTCCAGTCACGTAAATAAAATATTCTTGTAGTGATATTTTCAACCCATGTACCAATTCTTATTAAAATTGGATACTGTTGTAATTTCAACACACGTGGGAATGTTCAATGAATTGATATCATGTAAGGCACCAGTTGGCCATCGCAGGTTTGAATGATATATCATTATAATAACAATCGAGTAACGATTGATAAAGGACAACGTTACACTGTACATTGGAAATAAATTTACACGATAAAATATTGCAACACTATCGGATTCAAACGAGTACACATATGTTGCTATGAACGCTGTCAATATTCATGTCAACTGTTTGTCATGTGTCAGAGGACGTTGACATAATATGCCATTGTAAATATTTCACAGACGTGTGTCGTTTTATTTGGAGTCTAATTTGTTGTTGCTGAGCAAAAATATTTCTACAACAATGTCTATATAAAGAGCTTAACTAATGTGCAAAGGTGCAATGACTGATTTATCTTAAACATATTTCATTGTTATATTAGAATGTCAAAAAGATTGGTCAGTAAGCTTAACCACTTCATAAGTGACCTACTCAACATACAGATATTTATTTATGAAATAAGAATAGCCACATTATTAAACATTAGAATATGAAATATAAAGATACTACACAATCAATTTCTCATGTTTAGTGCTACATATAGCTTAATTAAATATGTATCATAAATGTACGAGAGAGAGAGAGATCGAATCCAACTGACCTTCCCAGGACATGTTGTGCAGCTTTCACAATCATTGTATTGTTACGACATTAGATATTGGGATCAACTTTAGAAAGTATGTCAATATTTTTATTCCTGTCGTACCATGCTTATTTTCTGTTTAGTGCATTTTGGAAATTATCATATAAATGACAAAATTAAAATGAAAAGATAAGAATTTTCACAAGAATCTTCTTTTCGGATAGAAAATTAGGTGCCAAATTGTTTACTTTTCATCAAGGAAAGTGTGCGAGCTTTTATTATTTTAGATTCTTCGGCCATACATTCATGGCCAATGCATAGACAATATCTCTTGTGCAATGTTAGCATCTGTACGAAAAGCAGTACCATTAAAACTAATAACATTAAATTTACACTTGGAATTGTTACATACACATTTTCAGTGATATTTATGTTTTATGATATATGTGGCTACATAAATTGGCAATGTAAATCAACATACTTCTTGTGGTATCAGTTTTAATCTGCGCCATCATTTGTAAAAAGAGACTTGCTTCAAATATGTGAGATAGGAAACTTGTAATAAACATTTCTTAAATAGTGAGTTTTTTCTGTGTTTGTGTCATATCACTGAGTATACACTTATTTGTTTGTAAAATATATATTCCTAATTCTTTCCGTAAATAATATATTATGAATAGATAGTTACACTCTAACTGTGAAATGCATTCGTGGGATATAAAATAGATGTAAAAATAAATTTACTTAGATGAGCAGCTAAAGGTTTAAATAGGAGAGGAATTTATTTCTAATTAAGTACAATATGGTAATAATTAAAGATTTTTCAGTTGCTACTCACAGACTTAAGCATATAATAAAACACAACATTCGAACTCTAATCAAGGGTCTACAGAGCTGCTCAGATACAAGGTGTGTCGATTTACAAATTATTAATTTTGAGAAGAAAAGTTTATTTTTGTATTCTAGTTTTACAAATGCACTTCGTCATCAGCTTTCACAAAACTAGAACATTATCATAAGTTTTCTTTTTCTTTTTTTCACCAAATTGAACAATAAATTCCAGACGCTGCTTGTGCTATAAACCAGATTCAGTGGCAGTAGTATCAAAAGTATGGGTTTTTTGTCACTTTTATTTAAAATCCATAACAATAGAATCAATGGTATCCTTGTGTTAGAAGTGAATGATGTGTAATCTGTAAAAACCTCAACGCTATTGCATACCCTATAGTATAGCAAATTTTGTAGTAGAAATATTCAATATGATAATAGTCTAACACATTTATCCTTCTAATTTTAATTCAATATGGAAATATATGTCCAGTTGCTGCATTTGAAAATGATTTTCAAATGAATATTCACTTTATGTTTTTTACATAGAATTCCTGTCATTAGGTGTCTTTCATGTGAGAATTGTGACCGATATCATGACGTTTTGTCATGTCCTTCTTTGCCCGATACAAATATATGAACTGTCTACCATTCGTTTCATGGCTCTGTCTGAGTTTATCTGTTATGTCAGGTTAATATTTTGTAATGGGAGGCAGATAAAAGTGTTTTTAACCATAAAGTCTAGTCTACCTTTCGACAAGTCTCGCGTCCTGCATACATATATATGTCCGTTTGTAAACCCGACGAAACAGGCATGTCAGCAACGCCATTTCAGTAATGGAACAACCTAAACTTAAAAATATATATCATAGCAGATATCAGGATCGGTAATAGCTAAATATATTAAGATCCATGACGTCCCCATTTCTTCTCAATCTTTATTCTAAAAACCTTTAGTAGTGTCCGCCAACTTCGCGGGAAATCTCGCGGTTTGTGTAACATTTCAGTACAATGGCGAAAAAATTACCTATATACAGGCCAAAAACATTGTTTTGGAATTCCATGATAATGTTTTACTAGATAATCAATGGGAGATACGACCTTAAACTTCTGCTGATAAAAGATGTTTGCAAAGCATCAACATAGTTTGTCGACAACGGGGAAGAGGGAGATCATAATTATGTCGACTATAGTCGACAACGGTATACAAAGCATTAAGGAAGCTATCTCGATCCGCCTTAGCGGACCAGTAGTAAACAGGGACGAGGGGACCACAGACTCTCCCACATCTATGACCAAGCCAAACTGAATTGGCTACAGTATGTTTTTTCGACTTGAGTGTACAAACGATTATAGTACAGCCGGGAAAGTTGGTCGATTCCTTACCATCTCGTACACTGGGCACGTCAGTGCTAGTACTGCTCATTTGTCTGATGAAGAAGTCATCGCAACGCTACATCAAATCTTTTACTGTTATTTCTCAAATGAAATAATAGCAAATGAAGTCATGTCGTGCTTGATTTTATTAAAATGAGGAAATAATTGACACCAAGAAAAAAAAGAGAGAAAATCTGCAGTAATCCCCTGAATGCACCTTTTTATGAGAAAGCTATTTAGCAATATTTTTTTCAAATAAGCATTTTCGTCATTCTTTCGTATGAGTTTCATAAAAATATCTAATGAATCAAACGTAAGTCCGCTAGAGTTTCAAGAGACAAGAAATGGCAACAATATTGGATAATGTCACCAGACATACGAAAAGCACAGTTCAAGTGATTAATCAATAAACATTCGCGTTTTCACAAGTACTGGGTACAGTCTTACTGGGAAAACATCTGGACAAGCGCATGGCTGAAATATATCAAGAACTTAGATCCCGCCAATATTTGATTTAGTAATTTTTTATGATGTTTGTTTGCTCTTTTTTTCCTTCTCTCTTTATGTATGATATGTAGAATTCTTAATTGATGCTGAAAGTTTTGAACATTTGGGAACAGGAGCGGTTTATGCATAACATCGGGATCAACCCTTTTAGTTTTAAAATGCTTTCATCTGGCATTTTTGCAGCAAAATATGTGTCTGTCAAATTTAATAGTGATTTCAGATTCTCAAAGAGGATTGCTGGGTTATTAATATTTGCTACTTAAATTTGCGCTAAGAATAGTTCTGAAGGCATCCAACTTAATTTAAGTACAAGTTTATGAACCCCCTAATCGGCTATAAGTGGTTTAACACTGATCAATTCGGCTTGACAAATTAGATCAACGTAAATTGTAAATTATATTTAATATTAGTTGTTTCGGGTATCAAAAGCGACTGTTGTACCTGTTTGTTAAGGCTGAGTTGAACAGTGAGGTAAAATTTGAAGAAAAAGCTAACGCAGAGAGTCCTGCGGTACTCTGTCATGCCCCCTGGTGAGCCAACAGCCAATGGGAGATCATCTGCCAACAGCCCAGTCATATCATTGAGAAAAGAGTCGTTCCATTTTCTACAACAAAAAGTAAACAAATATGAGATATATAAAGATAATCATCAGTGAAAAAAGAATGATTCGAGCAATATAGTTTAGACACTTATTTCTGAAATTAATTCAAAACTTTATTCAGCAAATAGTATATTCTTTTAACAGACGCTAACTACATAATCATAATGTTTTATTACATTTAGTATGAACGTGATCTTGCTTTAAATATGTCCAATAATTTTGCTAAATGTTTGTGTCGACATTTTCACTTTCGACAACTTCACTTTAAATTGAACTAGAAAGTTCAAATTTTGCTACAACATTACATAGATAAAAGGAGCATATATTGTGGTGGTTTCGTGAGATTTGGTAGAGCTGTTATTTTAGTTTCCATATTTATAAGATGTTCCGATTATTACAATCTAGTTTCTATACAAACGGATATTACATGATAAGCATTCTGTGTTACCGTGACATTGTTGTTGGCAAGAATGCTTTATATGGAAACATACGAATATATTATCTCACCTGCCTATTGTCTGTTTCATAGCATTCAATGCCATCACGGTTGTTGGGGCCATTCCACCAAACGCTAAACTCATATCTCTGATAGTGCTGTCCTCTAGTAGAACACGAATTCCAGCGTTTACGATGGCAATATCATCTTCTCTCCTGTACGCTTGCTTGTAGCCATAGAAGTATTCATTCTGAAAATACAAATTAGTTGTTTAATCGGCCTTTAATAGAAAAAAATCATTGATTATCTCAATTATGTCATTTAAATCTCAAATCAGAAACATATCTGAGGTAAAGTATGTCAAAGTTGAATTCACCAAACTTTATAAAATAGATGAAGTCAATATAAGGTGATGCCATTGAATTTAAACAAGACGTGACGAGGCAGCTATGGGAAACAATGTATGCACCAGCAAAAAACATTGGGAAGCGAAAACTTTAACGCTTTTCTAAATTATAGCAAATATATCCTTTATGTCCTTCAATTCCATGTCACCTTAACTTACCGTTTGTTAAGTTAATAACTACAAACTAAATAACATATTATCTAATGATCCAAAATCATATAAAAAATCTACGATAAGGTATCATCAACGTCCAGATACCTGTCACTATATTTCAAGATGGTGGAATGCATCCAGACCGAAGTAACATAATTCCATGATCTTTGATTGGACTGCAGTTCATTTTACCATGGAAATACGATGACATCCACCACAACACACACACCTCCAAACACACCCTCACACAGCACCCCAATGGTGGAAAAATATGTTGGGGTAAAGTAAAGGCCTTCAATTTCCCATGGCCATTGTTAAATTTCGTGTTACTATCGTGCTAGTCTAGTTACGCGTTATATACTGTAACTATCATCTGTGATGAAACTGTTATGTCACTGTCACTTTTCACTAGCTGCGATGTAAATGTACTTAAGAACAGTTCATATAAATATGTCAGTAGTGTATATCATATAGCTCGTCTTTTCTTATGATATCATACCCATAACATTTTTGATGCTGGGAATTACATAGATGTATAATACCTTAAAATGCAAATTTAGAATGCATGAAATTCTGTTGAGAAATCAAACTTGTAAGAACGTTAATAATAAAGTATTTTCAATTAAAAAATGAGTGAAATGAACTAGGGCAATTAAGAGACTGTGGGTAACGAAACTTATTTTTTCGAGATATGGTCATACTAAATGCTTGTAGAAAATGTCTTCCAATTCTGTTCAGAACAAAATACATGCAAGATGGCAGACAACAAAAATAAACTATGGACAAGACGTGTAAATAAGTGAGAACAAGTTACAAAACGCGAACTCATCTGATACATTTACGTGATATTATCCCAAATTCCTATAACTCTGTTCAAAATACTTGTATATAAACTTACCTGCTGTGTATAAGGTATCGTCAATGAAACTAGAACTTCACTGGAATCAACTGCAGTTTTACGGTATCCAAGAAAAAAGTTTTCATCCATTTTTAATGTCCGTATTTCAACACCTTAAAAATAAAACAAAATTATTTCAACTATAAATTTATACTGAAATAACGTTATTACAGAAGGCGTATCACATGGTACTGATACTGTATCATTGTGTATAACATACCGAACAAAAAATATTGAAATATGCAACGATTACTTCTGTTACATCTATGGCATAGATACTGTGATCTTATATTACTGTAGCAAATGCCTAGCTATCACATTGCTATTTGTATATTAATTCCGAACTCAGATATATACTGGGATACAGTACACTGCAGACTTATGTTTATGCATTCCTCACTGATTTCATAATACTAAGGCTACAGATATACAACTATTTATGTATATTTACAAATAACTTCAAACGGCTATAATCTGAATAAGAATTTTAATTCCATGGTTAACACACACACGCACAGATTTATATATATATATAAATATATAGATCAATACTACGCTACGTTATCACATGCGTTTGCTATAGATAAACAGGTGGTGATAGGTCCACCTTCGAATAGACCAATTGCACAGAACACGAGATAAATTGATCGAGGACACAAATAGTGGTCAACTATCTGAGGTGAGGTTTCTGAACATCAGAATTCAAACGATATGGAACCAACTGCTATATCTGTTCACTAGTAACCTTAACTGTCTCTAAACACGGTGTATATCAGATTGAATTTGATTATGTTATACTCCTGAACTACAAGGTGAACTTAATTGCTAAACCAATACACCCTATACAATGATGATTATGATGATGATATATCCATATATCATTTACAGCCACTGCAATACAAATATTTTCACATTTATTTTATATCTTTTAACATGTTGACGCTTATTCCTTCTTTGTATTCTCACGAAAAAATAACTAGTTTTCTAACTGTATACCGAATAGCTATGTGTTTGTTGTCAAACAATTTTAAACTGTACATTTCAATAGGCTCAGATGAAATATTGATGATGGCCAGATTAAATGTAACGTTATTCATTAGACTGAACACAGAATAATCGGTAACAAAACCTGCTTCGTTTACGTTGTTATTACGTGACCAGAATCATGAGTAGAGTCTTGAAATTGGGGCAATGCTAAATGTCATAATGCAAAACTTTTCCACAAATCATTTTCTTCTGCCGGCGTTACCTCTTGAAGCAATATTTTTGTAACCAGAAAAAGGGTGTGTTACTATCAATGCAATGTAAGATATGGTGATAATTGATGTCGTCTCACGAGAAATCCGTTTAATTCATTTACCTGATCACTGATAACATATGTTTGTGCAACTTGTATGTAATAGATTACAAGCGAAAGCTTTTTTAACTAATAATAAAGTCTGGTAGCTTACAAATTGAATAATTTCAGGTTTTTTGTATGTTTATTGGTTGCTGTAGCTAAAGTACTTGTCATGTTATAACGAAGAAAAAGGGATATTCTATTTGTTTGAAATTGCTCTGGCATAGATACTAAGATATTTAATTTTTTTGTCTTTAATTTTGACACAGGTACTGATGTTTGTAATCAATTTCTGTTTTATCCATAACACAAGTGCTTTATTTTAACATTCCTGACATTCCGGACACAGATAATGCGATATTTAAGTATCATGTCTGTTGCAACCCTGACTCAGATATTGATATATCTAACTATTGTGTATGAAACGTCCCTAACACAAATACTAATATATTTGTCTGTTACATTGATAACAAGAATACTGCGATAGTTAGAGTATTAATGGTATTTTTTAATGATCTTAAAATGCATTAGGTTCAATCGAGCATACTGGTTTTAAAATGATTCGCCGTTATTTCTGATGAGGTAGGAGATTAACATATATTTACAAATATGAAACATCTTACAAATGTGCATACCTTTAGACGCCACATGTAACATGACACCAGCTGCCATGAAAAGAGGATTCAGGTCTGAGATCGGACTCGCTGTCATGATGTTGCCACCAATGGCCTGTAAAACATCGTCAACAAGAATGTATAATATAGTTATGTCACTCATAATGCTGAATAGCCCATTAAATAATTTGTATGAAATATGTTTTGTTTATTTTGAGTGATATAAATGAGAAGTATTCACTTCAATAGAGCAAGTCAAAATAATGAAAGATATCTTTAGTTTACCCACAGCAACATTCCTTATTTGGTGACCAGCGAACCAGCGTAACATTTCCACAATGGCTCGAAATACACCGGTCTGATGTTCTACAAATATATAACACACATAAGCTTAAGTTTCCTTCTGACATATCAAATAAAGCACCATATTCTGCACTATATGAACAATGAACAGAGGTACCTTTATGTATATTTAAAAAACAACGTTTGTTCAATAACCAATTAATAGATTCATTGTACTATTATTATGTGGATTAATATTTTCAACACGTAGTGAAATGAATACAGTTGATGTTCTTTTGCAGAATGAGATACTCCAGATTAAGTGACAGTTCAAATTTAAAAAGTGATAAAGGAAGGTCAGGCGTCATTTAAGAAAGATGTAAAAGTAAGTCGGATTCCTATTCCCAATCGAAGTGTATGATTAAGTTTTTAAATGATTTATGATATTTAATAACTCTTGGTAAAGGTTAATGTTTCATACTGATGTCCAGTGATATAATATTCAACCGTTGATTACATAGAAATACTGCAAGGTGGTCATTGTTATAAATTTGAAAAAGGTATAAGCTCACTCTGTACATTGAATTTGAAAAATGGATATCGCCACTTAAACAGCTCATTTCTATACATATGTGATAATAAGTGCGAACAATCCAATGATGCACAATTACGATGTTACTATTAACGGATGTCAATTGTCCAAGTCATTTATGGAACCAAATATGAGTTAACTATAGTTAGTTAAATTTAAGATTTAAACCTTTTACGCATGATTAAGACACATGAATAGAATAAAATTATTATCTTTACTTTAATGTCATTACATTTTATACCTTTAGTTTCTCCAATAGAACTATTCCTGACTATGGATAAATGTTTCGAAAATGTAAATTAACTTCGCTTTATGTATGACACATGGTGGAAGATAGACGACACGAGACATAGGGGTCAGAATGATTGCTCTAGGTCTTCAAATAAACATCTATATTATTATGATTATGAGGTAAGATGACAATCCTTAATACGATATGGAACCGATGGCTATTATGAGCCTATACGGACCAAACAAAACTTTCATGTGAACGTTCTGACTTATTACAAAATCCTTCTCAGCAAAAGCCAATCAAACATTTTCAAAATGCAAGCAATGACCACCTTTCTGAATTTACATTCATCCAGTTTAAGAGTGAGGTCCATGTATGGACCATATCATTTTGGAAAAAACTCTCTAAATGCTTCTTTCTTAGTAAGATTCCTGGACGTCGCCGTAGTTGCTCATTGGTTGTCATGTCTATGAAATAGCACCATTCACAGAAGGAATTCATAACATATTTACCAACATGATGTACATATAAACATACCAGGTAAGGTGCTGATGGCGGCACGGAGAGTTTGATCGAGTTGCGCTAGAGTGACCGAGGCTCCAATGGTTATACCATCAGCGTTACTGACCACACGCTGTAGCTCTGGTATGTGAGTTACAGCAATCATTACTGGGTAATGCATGTTTTTCAATTTTATTTCAACTCCTGAAATTCAAACGAATGAAATATTTTTAAAACATTCAAAACGACTCCGTAACTTACAAAATGGGTCTAGTTTTTAGGAAAAAATAAAAGCAAATGTTAAGCCTATACATTTTGGCTGAACCTTAAAACCTCGTCATTCCAAAGAAACGATCAGGTAATATTTCACTGACCGACTTCTGTGTTGCCGATGATAAGTCGTGCAGTTGGATGTACGGCCTTGAGTTCCAGCAGTTGGTCAAGTGAAGTTGGCCGGTACCAAACTGACCGCTCCCCTTTGTAATAGAGGTATTGATCATCAAATACCCTCGTCTGGAAACCAACAACTTGCATAATAAATAACCTGGACTTATCAATAATCAAAGGTAAATGGTGGATATAATGAATTGGGAGAAACGATATGCTTACACTATCTCTTCAAATCCTTTCGTGTAAATTAATAAACGGAGAAATTTACAATTACTCTGTTTAAGCCACAGTTGCCTACAGTTTGATACAAAGAATAGTGATACAAAATCAACGGACATTGGTAATACATTTTGTTATTACAAGCTTGGCCGTAGTTTCGGTAATAATTTCAACAAACAAGAAAACATATTCATATTCACACATCATGAGCAATTATCAGAGACACGAATCCAAACAAGAAGGAAATTCTATCCTTTCCTTTAAAGCCTGATTGATACTATGCTGTGTTTTTCCTGAGAGAAAAGTCCTTAGATCTGATTATATGCCACTTCAGTGCAGGATTTGCCCTATATTTGGTTTGCTTAACTCTTCAATTTACAACCAAACTTTGTCACTTCTCAATGTAGGAACTTTCCTTTCATTATCTTTGATACCATAATACAGACTATTCTAACCTTTAATGTAACAGATGTTATACAAAGCATTTGATACTAGCTTGATTTTTGTAATTATCAAGGCCTCTCGATTTAGGATAGTTGCTACAAGGAGTTTAATAATATCATATCACGCTTTTTCAATGAAGAAAACTGTTTACATAATTTTTAATCAAATGATCAAATCTATTCCAGGCTTCACACCTCGCGAAGCTAAGTCTTTATGATACTATAGATTTAAAACCATGGAAGAAAATGTCTGAAGAGTAAAGACTGAAGGCAGTATCTTTCCGTGTGGATGAAATTATCTACATTTGGAAACTTAAAATAGTCTATATAGTGATATCCAGCCTGATTCAGGACGTTTTCTATATCGGGAATCCATAAATTGTCGATACGATGGTGTTTAATGTAGTATTGAATATAGTCCAGAAAGACTGAAGACAATATCAAACTCTATGTAAGTTCTGAACGTAGGATGCCGTAGTTTAGTCTATATGATGGTATTAAACCACTTCCTACATCGAGACCGCCAGAAGAAATAATATGATATTTTTAAACCCAGCATAACAAACTTTCTACATAAAAGAAGCACAAAATCAAAAGTTTTTCTTCAGAAATTATGCTAGGAATTGCAGCATACTGCCTTGAAAAGGAAAGGTGGATTTATCTCGTCCTTTATTGAATCAAGTTTTGAGTAAATTTTCATGGCAATCAGCCGTGAAATCTGAAAGCAGTATCGTACCCTATAGGAAAGAGTAACATCGGGAAACATTTATTTTATGTGTATTTTTTATGAAAGTTGTTGAATTTCTGGTTAATGTTTGATATGCCTTTCTTCAACAAAGCTGCATTAATCAAAAAGAAATATTTCTAAGGAATATAAACAAAGATGCGAGACATTAATGACGAGATATATCTAGATCTTATATTTGCATAGGAGATAGGAGAGGGACTTACGAGCTGATTCCAGTATATCCTTACACGTGATGCGGTGATTTAAGAAAAGAGGCTGCGATGATGATAATAGAACTCAAGCTACAGCAATTACAGATTATTATGACGTTCGTTGAGGTCTATCCTTTGAAATATTGACCTCTGGATTTTATCAACACAAAGAATTTCTGTTAACCTATAATACGTATGCAATGTTGAACTCACTCTGAGTTGAGGCGGAAAGATTGGGTCTTGTGTGGAGTCTGTCGGTAGAAGATCAGTTTGCTGGTCTCCGTTTTGCATCACCTGGGAATTGATTCAAAAACACGCGTTCAAGTTCTCTCCGCTGAGCTAATTTTCATATTAATCCTCCGTGTTTTAACAGGTATTTACAATATGAAAATGACATAGAGACATTCATTTTTTATACCTGCGTATTATTGTACTTCGAAAAAGTGTGAAACATTTGCGAAAATGAACATATACTGGCGGGAAAAAACTGTTCATGGGTATAATATGTAACAAGGTATATAAGCAATTACCAATCTGGCTTTTACTTAAAACCAGCTCCATTGATATGGTTATTGCATCAGCTTCGTCTTGCGCATTCCCATCGTTCTGGATCAAGAAAGGTTAGGCGACAATCGTGTTTGTGATTGACTGTTGGCCGATAAAAGGACGTGAACATGATGACGTGAGCAAGACATACAAACTACCCGTGCAACTCAAGCACTGACATACATAAATTACCTGTGTAAAGTTTCGAGCTTTAGTTAATAAAATTGAGCAACATATGCACATTTTTCACATGAACAGTTGTTTCCGCCAGTATGTGATTCAAACCACACACTCTAGCAGTTATTAGAATTCGTAGACCACTGCACGACTACACATTTGCTGACAATAAAGATTTACTAGAGGAAGGTTATTTTCCTAAAAATAAAAGAAATCTATAGGGCTGAATTACTCATATGTTCTGCAGGTTATAAAGAACTGTAAACGCCATTCCCCGATATTGCCACTACACAAATATCATTCCATGACACAATATGTGCATTTATTTGTTAAACTTATTTTAACCCAACTCCAGTGAATATTACTACTCTGGGCTCATGTTTGAATATTTCAATATTTTTTTACCCTTGTGACAATGAATGTGGCTCAAGGTCATTTGAATGAACCTGGCAGACATTCATCACAGTTCACTCACATGCCACTCCAATATTGACATATCACTTATTTCGGTCTCTTGTTACTCCATACAGTTATATGCCATTCTACTCGGTCAAATATCACCCCTTTAGTAAAAGGATGTATTTGTTGAAAAAGAAACAAGATATAACATGATTATTGAAATGTGAAGTGATAGCTCAGGCAATGAGCACATAAGAACAAATAGTACCTTGCATTTCAAAATAAATAACTACAATGACGCTGACCATCACATATGGACATCACACAATTGGCAAGAATATTTCTACGCCAGAAGGCATGTCGCATTTTTACTGTTGTAAACAGTCGTAAATTCATAACAAATCCTTTTTCGTGATACTGAATTACATCCATAAATAACGTTATTCTACTTATATCCAGTACTTACGTTCATTTACATCTGACTTCATTGATAAATCAATGATCCTGCATTTTTTGGATTAACCGGGTAATTGTTTTAATGTAAATCAATAAATCAAATAGAGTTTGCTCTATTTAAGTTTACGTAGTACACTTTTAAAGCGAAAAGCATAACATCAAAGTATTTAAGAATTAATCATTTGTAAATCTGTTTGATTTCTACTATTGTGTTACTTTATTATTCTTTTTCTTATAATTTAAACCATGAAACCAATAATGGTTAATTAAAACTATCCCCGTCAGGGTTACATCAACATATGAATCTCAATTAAATTATTCAATAGTCATGAATATCAATGAAAATTAAAAGCAGACTATGATAATGAGAACTATATTTCAAAACGCTCGTTTGAATAAAAAAGAAAAATGATGTTTTATTGGAACAATACTGACTATGACAGAGCTTTTAAGTAAAGGGAACACAAGATGTCTATAGAATATGCATTCTGCAAAGAATTACAGAAAAAAAAGACAGGGAATCAAGACTTCAGGACCGATACAATGATTGGGGATTAATTGAATATGTTGCGGCCAGTACACTTTGTGCAACGTTCCCGAACAGTCAGATCATTGATCTAATTTATCCAAACCCACCAACAAATTGAGTTACAGTTATAGTTTGGCATATTGACAGAACCCATTTCATGAGTAAACAATATGACCGCTACGAGGAGGCTTCCAAATCGCCAAAATTCAATTATTCTCCAAACTGGTTATAGGTGCCTTTTGACAGGACGGTGACATGGCTTCTCTGCAGTGGACTACTAATGTAAGAACTTTCAGAACTGTTGAATTTCCCTCAAAGGTGGGGTCAACATATTTGGGAATATGACATTAGCATCGGCCCCACTTGAAATTTCAAGATATGATAACCATAAACAGATATGGGTATCAGAAGCTTAAATACGGAAAAATAAGTCTCGAAATTGATTTCTTATATGTAATTCCTTCTAGTGCATTATCATGAGGCAATTCCAATAAAATTATGTGTGCGCATTGTACCAACCAACATTTTGTTACCACATATCACAATATTTCAGTAGAAACGTTTCTTTTATGTTGAAAAATGCAGCCAAAAATCATTTAAAAAGCCATTACTTTTCAGAAAAGTACTGTGTGGGACACTTCAATATTCATACTTCGGAAATCAGTCCTTTTTCTTACTTGCTTAAAAGTTTTCCACAGATGATATCTTCCAAATGGAGGATTCTTGGAAAAAACGAAAACCGGTAAATTTGTCATTTTACACATTTGCTTAAAAAACCAAGAAGCATCTATTTTTTCCATTTTCGTTAAATAATGACAGCTTAATAACCAAAAGTCTGTAGGTCTTGCTGTATGAAAAGGTGGTTGTTCATGTCAATTTGTATAAGTTTGGTTGACATTTCTTAACTTGACCTCTGTTCAAGGTCACACAAATGAAATTTATTAAAACAAAGACATTTTTGTGCAAGTTTCACAATTTGAAGATCAAGTTAGCAGCTTTATTCAAATCGTTTGATGAGGATCAATAAAGTGACCTTATAAGATATATTATGTACAGTAATAGTCTCCAGCAGGAGTCAGCTGCTCAGCAATGTATATGGGTGCTACTCAAAAACTCTATTGAACAGGCATCAAGTTTCACGCAGTTGGCTTTTTTGCGCCTAGAAAGGTCAGGTTCATCTGCAATTATTGAGGCCAAGGTGTTGGGCAGAGCCAAACGGGATTGCATTCGCTCAGCAAGGCAACGGTCCCTCAAGTCCCTCTCTGGTTTGGACACATAAATTGGTCCACGTATAGCATTCAAGGAAGCATTAGCTACTCTAACCAGTTCCTCTATGACACTAGTGAAGTAGTTTGAGCTGAGTTGTTCTCTGAACAGTTTCCACTGGTACAGTAAGTGTCTGACAGAAGATAGGAAGGCATGTACACAGAAAACTCTGAACCTCACAGCAGCTTCAACACATTCCTAAACCCACGATCAACAATTACATTGCCATCTTCATTGAGCCACAGTCAGATTCTCAATTGTTACAAGAATTTTTGTCAAGATATTTGCGTCATTTCCATTGCCATATAATGGCCCAATAGCGTCTAGTACATAACCATCTGGAAATTAAAGGTTCATGGATTTCACATAGTTGCGCTTCTTTTTGCCACAGTATGAGGAACCTTGAAGGGGGTGATCAGCTCTTTTTTTACGCAAATGTAGGTACCATCAAGGATTACAGTTACTTTCTTCCCGTATAAACATCTTATAAAGGCAGTGTTGTGGCACTTAGCTTCCTCGCGGGTAATGCGTCTTGAACCAAGGAAACGGGGCAAAATTGTCTCGCCCAAGGTTTTTAAGACACAATTAAATGTGTGTGACACATACTGTTTTTTTTTTTTTCAGACCACAGAAGAAACCAAGTTCAGACCATGAAATATTGGTCTTCAGTTTAACCCAGAAAGGAAACAAAGCATGGAATGTAGAGAAACATGATCCTCTATTGATGTGTGAGGAACAAATGCTACGGATTTGCTGCATTTGTTCAAGTGTGTAACCAGTTCATGCCTGGAATTCTTCAATTCTGCGATGGTCTACATCTATGCAGGTGTTGGTTTGAGTACCAGCAGAAAGGAAAAGGCATAGTTCAAAAAGGTCGTTGATAACCTGATTAGCTCTTTCTTGAAGATGAAGAATTAACGGTTCATTGTTTGCAGATCTAGTGGCAAAGAAGGATTAAGAAAATCACCAATTACATGGTCATTGAATCTGGGGGCCACCATAGAAAATGGAAAATATCAAGGTTGTCCTGGCACGCTGGGGTATAGTGCATAGTTAAGTGCCCCATTTTCCACATATGACAAATCTTTTATGTGAATTGCAACCATGAAATAATTTCTCAACAGAGAGTAGTGGTAATTGGTTGGATGACATGAAATCAATGTAAGCATCATCTGCATCATTCCCAGGTTATCTGGAGTGTTCATACCAGAAGGTTCATTCAATTCAGAATGCAATGGCCTTTGCCTGAGGTGCCACTTGTAGCACTTTCCACATAATATGTTTTTTTCTGTTATGCTAGTGATCTCTGCAGTCAGCAGCTGGTGCAGCCAGTTATACTAGGGTAAATATACATGTCTTACTTGAGCGCTGGTTCCTTGAGATAAATCTTTCAACCTGGTTTTGCAACTACGACCTATGTACACGTCTGACATGATTATTAGTAAACCTGAGGGGAGAATGGCAGTAATTTGAATTTAATACAGAAAGTCTGACATAAGTGTAACTTTGTCTATGTAATTGTCTATAGATACTTAGCAAAAATGGTATGAATACTTTATAGTAATACCTTTATATGTTTCAGGAAGTTAACATACTGGCACATTCAGGTGTCAGACAACGTTATCATTTCTGGCCTTATTTATCAATTATTAATTAGAATATTTAACTAATTTATATCCATTATTGTTATGTTTAATGATAAACAACGAAAAATTAAATGACGATATTATGTTATCAGTAATACTAATAATTAAATCATTGTTAAGCTTTTATAACACAAACTAAACTGTCAGTTGTTCTGTAGAGGATAGATTTCTAGTGCAAAAAACACCATGTTTAGTTATACCTTCTGAATCTAATTTTAAAACAAATACAAAATACTTAATGTGCTTTGGCAATGCACAAAACTGGAAAATATAGCAGTAGTTGGCACAAAAAAAAACAACGATCTTCATGATTATGGCAAATAATGCAATAAGCATGTTTAAATTGCTAAAAATATATTTTACCGGTTTTGAAATCACTTGAAATTTATTCAATAGACAGAATATATACGTAGAAAGTTTTTAAGAAGTATGAAATATAGACTGCATTTTTTAAATCAAAATTATCAATATGCTTACATTTTTTGTATGCCAATATAACATATGTGGTATCAAATAACAGACATTTTATGTACTTTAGGCTGGTATATAAATATTTTCATTGATAATTCTCATGTAGCAAGTTTTTATCATTATGTTAAGGTACCTTTGTCCCTCAACATGTTGTTATACAAGAAGGTCCAGTATGCTATAAGCAGTTATAATGACTAATCATTTATGCGGTTATAGGTTATTTTCATGTATCTACATATGGCGGAAAAATAATAGAAATCTATGTGGGGGCCAAATATTGACCCCATCTTTGGCATATGGCTTCCCTAGTTAATCCACTAATGCGGAAAAATCTTGGTATTCTTGGAAATTGGTCATAAACAATTCTCTAAATCATCTAATATCAAGTCACAAAATGTCCGGTTGTTGATGTTTAAGTGTTACAGCCACTAATGCTTTTAATTTGCTGATCTCTTGTCATACAATCAACAGTTTACACTCTAAGTTATACCAAACAGGATCGAGAGCGACGACAGTATTATTTGTGTGAAACTGTACAAATGCGGCATAGTAGATTATCGATGTTTTGCTCTGCAGTACACATATACAAATAAGCATGCTTATAAGGCATCTGTCAAAGAAGTCGATTAGTTTCTGTTTGTTTTTATCTAACTGTAGATTAAACTTCTGTGTCAATTAGAACTTTTTGATAATGACATCCTCAGATGTTCCTTATATGACTTGAAATAGCATATACTGCGGCAAGTAAATCTTGAACAATGTATCTATGTGTTAAAAAACATAACAGTTATTAGGTATTCACTCACATCAGTTGTTGCAAAGACGCTACGTTCAGTAGAATGAAAACTAGGTTTATTACATCCAAAATATGTGTACAGTTTTGTGTAGACAAATATTTACACCCTAGTTCACTGGTAGAGCACGGGAAAAAGGCTACTGTTCATACGAAGTAGACTACAGGCCAATAAGTAGCACATTAGGTTCCACACAGGCATTGCAAAAAATGTTGCTTTAGCCCAAGGACTACACAAACAAAGACTACCTGTTTTTGTTTTTTCCTTACAGTGAAATATCGAATATATCCAATAAATTTCTTGAAACGTATAATAAATAGAATAAAAGAATTTAAAGTATTATTTTAGAACGCAAGGAAATTGTTGTTTATAGCTGAGAACGCATGTATTATTATCATTTTCCTTCCTGTTACTACATCCAGAAAAGTAATCGTACGCAAGATAAGTATAACTGATCCGAGTTTATCCAATCGCGTAGATCGGTTAAACAAAATTATATTTAGATAAAATTGACGTGTAGCTTGGTCAGTACGTAGTTTACTATGTTATAAGCTTGCGTATACGGAATTTACAGTTTCATTTCAAATTCAATAAAACCTCTTAAATGCTAAAATAACATATACCTGTCTACTTCAGCTGATTTTACTGCATTTACATTTAAAGAACTTCCATTATGACAGGCTGGTGTGCTATCAAGATTACATACCTGAACATCGGAGTCATATCCGTTCACCACTGTTTGACCACAGTCATTGTTGTTTAATTTTGTCTGGTTCCGACAACAGTCTTTACCCATTGCACAACTTCCCTATAGTAAACAAATGACACCAAAGTATTTGCAAAAGTCATGCAGTGAAGCTCTCTGAGATATACAATGATGACGTAAAAAAAATACCAATGTTTACGAAAACAACGTACATTAGAGAATGGGAAGGTTAAGCAATTCTATTGGTATCAACAGCGATAGATAACTGACCACTTTGTTATAAAAGTCAAGCATATACGGCTTCCAGATGAAACTACACAAAAACTAGAGAACTACTGGAAAAAAAACAGCATGTATGTGTATCCTTCAGCTATAAATTAGCAATCACGTTTGTGACAAAATGCATATACATATCAGATATTATAAAACGGCTCAGCAAATCAGTTACCCGACAGATGTGAAACTATATGAAAGAAATGAACAGATGATAAAATTGTACAGGAACGAAATCTAGATACGAATGTTTGACAGACCAACCGTATTCAACAATGACTAGATTAAATTAACACTCACCTTTGTGAAGTCCTTAAACCCTTCAATTATAGGTCTGTATCCTGTACACCTGCACAGATTACCTGGCCAAAACAGATATATGTATAAATTTGTACATATGATTGTGGTTTCGGATACAACAACAATATCTGAACTAAGTAAAGAACAGAGTTGAACTCGGGGGGGGGGGGAAAGAGTGCACTCTTGCTAGTTCTGTTACGTTTACCTAACTTATTTGGTTTGATAAAGATTTAAATAACGGGTGTAGTCGATGAAGCAGAAGACTTTTACTCTTCCTGAACACCTGGTTTTATTATCCTTGTCCTTTTCAAGAACATTCGTGTAAATCTCTCCTTTGTTCAAATTTTGCAATAATTTCATTGAATTTGATTGTAATATTGTTGACATGTTGGTATTCCTTTTTCCCCCTTTTTTCATAACTGTGTGCTTGTAGAATCATCTGGCCTATTGAAGCAATATTTAACTCCCTCCTTGGTGTATTATCCGCATTTCTCCGTGATGATTTAAATTTTAACTCCCTCCAGGCCCCTCGCCCTATCATCCTGTCAGTGCTCCGTAACGTATTACACGGAACCCCTTCTGGTCTTATTATCTTGTCCGTAGTGTGTAATTTATCACACGGTAACAACTTTCCACTCCCAGGCCCTATCATCCTGTCAATTATATGAAATGTATTACACAGACCCCCACACCCACCTTCTCCGGCCCTATTATGCTCTCAATAATATGTAATGTATCACACGCTCCTTCCTCCTGTCCCAGTACTCCATACTGTATTTCACGGTGCTCTTCTCTTTGCTCTATTATCTTGTTAGTTCTCCGCAATGTGTGACACGGTACTCCCTCCTGGTACTCTTTTTTCTCAGTGGTCTGTAATGTATGACATGATACACCCCCTCCCTCTCTCCTGGTCGTATTACAGTGTCAGTAATCTGCAATGTATGACACGATATACCCTCTCCTTCCCTCCTGGGTTGAGAGTATTTTTGTCAATACCCTGTAATGTATCACACGGCATTCCCTCCTTGCCCTATTTTTGTCAATACTCTGTAATGTATAACACGGTAACACTCGCCCCCTCTCCTAGCCCTATTATCGTGTTAGTTATATATTATGCTTTAACCCCCCCCCCCCCCCCCTTACTGGTCCTATTATCCGGTCATAACACTAATTTTGGTATAAATCAAATACTCATCACTGATACGATTGGAACACTCAACCACATTTTCCTTTTGTCCTTATGGACCTGAATCTTAGAGGTTACATTACTGGTACATGCCAAAATACCGTAATTATGAATTAAAAAGAATTTTTTTTAAATCACTGACCTTCAAATGCACTTTCCATGTCTTCTACAGTCGGATTTTGAATATTCCTCAGCAGAGTGTACATGGACATGACGATTCCGGGAGTACAGAACCCACACTGAGATCCATGAGATTTGGCGATTTTCTCCTTTAATGTGAAAGGATGCAGAGTCACAATCATGGTTGTTTAATATCGCCGTTTCCTAATAGACATGACTAGAGATTATCAGTCTTTTACTGCGATTTTTAATAAAGATTTTAAGTGTTTATACTAAAGGTAGACAATATTGAAGGGAGATTGACACTGAATCACACTGTTCTGTAGAATTTCATACACATTAACAGTAAGAGTAACTCATTAACCTGTATCGGATGAAGTCCCTGTTTGATACTGCCAATACCCTCCACTGTTGTCACAGCTAAACCATGAAGTGAACAAATCGGCGCCAAACATGCATTGACAGAAAGATGTCTGGGAACAAAGAAGGATTCACTTCATTATGCAGTTATGTATCGTATAATTCCATTTTCAGCGGATAGGCCAAATGTCTCATTTTGCTTTCCCGAAGAGTTACAAACACAGATTCCTGATGTGTGTTGATTGATTTAGTAAATATGTATCTATGGACCTTTCTACATAATTCTATAGCGAATTATTGATAAGGAGTGTCGATACTCACTTCACCTGGTTAGTGGATGGATTGTACTTCGATATCATCACTGTACATGCACCACATCCTCCTTCTCCACAGCCAAGTTTTGTCCCCGTCAACCGTACTTTAGTGAGGTAAGGACTAACTCGAACAAATCACTAAACAATTTTAAACAAGAACATCTATGGGATTGAACTATAAACAAGTATTCTCTCGTTTCATACCAAAGTGAAATCTATTATCAACATTATGTAGAGGCGTGTTATGAATGACCAGTTTAGTTAATATATCCATTTCCTTCTGTTGTTAAGGCTTTGATAAGGTTTTAGCTATTCTATGGAGGAAATCGATCATTTAGTTAATTGATATATGTGATATAACTATGAAACAAATATGTTCGATTTTTCAAATTTTTACCTATTTCATGTATAGGATATGAAATGTTTCCTTACCATCCGCGCTCATGAATGTAAGTTGTTAATAGTTTCATTCTATTTACAGCTGTAAAAGTCAATTATGCCATTGAAATTATCATTACAGGTTATCTTAGTTTTGAATAATTAGGCAATAAAAACATTTAGCGACCAAACATTATTCTTTTCTGAAAAGGTTTGATTAACGAAATACATATCGCTTTGTCGCAGTGTATAGACGACGGTACTCGTTTTGACACCTCGCGAATATTATCAATATTTCACTACGAGGGTAATAAGTGATGAGAGCTTTCAGGAGACTCAGTACGTACACCGCGACTTTTTTTTCGTTTTTTTCACTTGTTTCCATTTATGAAAGTCAATGTTTAGCGAGGAGGGCGATTTAGCAATGAAATCAAATGCGCAGACCAAATCTAAAATCTAAAATCTCAATAACTGCACTGTCTGTGGTATAGCCAACCGAAGTAATATAATCCTATGCTGGTTGCCTCAATTTCCATCGAAGGATATCGCATCCGATACAACTGACTCGGTTCAAAATTGATAAAAATCTGAAATGGCCGTAGTCTTTCGACCTAGAAGAGTCAAAATATGAAATTTGAGAAAAATCCATTGGAGAAGTAATAACATTTGAAGTGTACATTGAACATTTTGATATATACTCAAGGGTTTAAAAAAATGTGGGGTGAAATTATTTGCAATGACTTGCAAACGCGTTGTTCAAAAACAGTGAAAATCTGTCAATAACTCTCTATTCTACAGTTCACGCGGTGCTGTGTAGAATGTTGCATTGTTGTATTGCGTGACGATGTCTTCCTGGGAAAGCACGAAACGGGAAAATCTTGTGCACAGCTAGGTATATCCTTGAGATCATTAGACCCTATGTTGTCCCATTATTGCAGCAGAACAACCTCATATTCCAGCAGGATAATGCTCGGCCCCATGTAGCGAGGATCTGTTTCGACTTTCTCACTAATAACAATATCCACCTACTAGACTGACCGCCATACAGCTCTGGCCCAACTGAGAGCAGCACTCTAGGAAGAATGGACCAACACCCCATTGAGGAGAATAAACTCACTCATGAACCCCATTCTCAGGAGAATCAGGACTGTGGAGAGAGCGAATGGGGGACATACCCGGTATTGATTAGCCAGATCCCTCAATCAGTCAATTTCTTTTACAAATTACAGAGCTATCTTTCAATTCCCTTCAGTTACTCCTAAATCATTTACCAGATACAAATCGATGATTTTGCAGTTTATTCTGTATGGATTATTCTTCTGTACTTAAAAATATTGAACATTATACTCAACGTCTTGACCAAATTCATCTTAAAAGATTGCCATGCGTTTCGTTATCCCTTTAGTTTATAAAGTCATAAGATATTTTCATCATACAATGAAAGACCAAGATAGTGCGAACGTCGTAATTATTTCTGTTTACAACATATTGTTATTTACATGGGTTGCCAAAAATGACGCTACAAGCTCATCGTTTTTTTAAAACAGCCATACCGAAATTAAATATATCACAAAGATTCTATCGTGCTTTCCATATGCGATGTTTTTGCTACTTGTATATTTCGTTGACATTTACTTGTGTAGAGTATGCATGTAGACATTGCTTTTTGTCATTTTAATAATGAAATTAGTTCCTACTGTGTAGACAACTGATTATGTGTACAGTGTGCATGTGTCCGAAGATACATACGAGTGCTATCTAAATGAATACTTTTTGTCATAATACATTACTCTAGTGACTAAAATATTATGATTTGTATAATGTTATTGATCTCTAATTCCTTCAAATCAACAAAAGCGCATCCAACCTCTTACAAATGGATACAAATGGTTGGAATTAACAACAAACACACAAATAATAAGCAATAACACGTGCTTTTTATCTCCAGTTATAGAAGCTCAGAACAAAGTGAACAAGTTAGTCGTATTTGTGACATAAGTTGTCATGAATAGTCGCAATTATTAGAGGTATGGACAGGAGATTTTTGACATTTCTAAGCTTTGTGCATTCCAACGATCTTTTTTTCATAACACTGTTTACGTGTTTTCGTTTTAAAAGATGAGGCAATATGATATTGAAGGACATGCAAGATACATATCATACGATATAATATTTTCACTTGCTGTGTACTTCGTTTTATTTACGCATATCAGTAGCTTTAAACTGCAATTAAAGAAATCTATCAAACTACATAATATCTACAATACATAAAGAAGTGAATATCACCAGTAAATAGATAGATTTTAGAAAGTCTATTTCAATATGCGTATTGGACTCCAGAACACTATTCTTTTGTCATTATTTGTTTAAATAATTGTGATCTTAAACTGAACTGAATTTCATGGATTACTTTATTAATATACAAGCAATACTATGTATTAAAGGTTGAAAGTTCGATACAGGTTCGAATCATTCATAGTCCGTTTTCGAATCATCTAAAGTCCGTTGTTTTGTAGTAGCCATATTTCAGTAAAGATGATTTTATGACAGCGCTGACTTTATACTAAGATTGTTGAAGGTTGTGATATAGAATGTATCCAGGTAAACGGTTTTAATGATAGTTGGAAGCAGGCTGAGATACATGACACCATGATTGCAGATTTGGAAACTATTAGTGTCTGTGCAAGAGGGAGGGAAAACAACTGAACGACAGAACTGTGATAGTGAATTTGCATAAATGCACATGTATTACGTTGATTAAATCTGGGTTTGTTTTATTTTTCATTATTATTATTTTTTTTTCTTTCTTTTTCTTATTTATTTATTTTTTTGTTATGAAACCTGATGTAATTTTCACAAAGAATACATACAATACATCAGTATATGTCTTAATAACATTTAAGGATACAGTTTGTGCGCAGAAAATGAAGTAGAGTTGTCTCTGGATCAGGGTTGGGAACTACAACCTGCAATAAAATGAAACAAAAATATACATTTAACTTGGTGATCAATCAGGATCTAGTTCAAGCAACAGAAATAACAAAATAACACGAAAGTGTTTCACTAAATTGGCAGATCTTAAACAACGTACGTATTAGATTTTCGACTGTTCCCAAATAAATCGACAGTACAGTCATGAATGTTCTCAATAATTACAATGCTGGTTGCATAATAATGCTTATGAACAACTAGCAAACTTCACAAGTATTTTTTTTATATTTACATTATATTTACCAATGCCTAGTTAAACTATTCTATCTGTTTCAAACAATAAAACTAGTTCAGCTGTTTCCAACAATGCCTACGGTTTTACTTGCTTTTTGACGCGTGTATTGATTTTCCGGCTACGCATCGATATAAACAATAACCGATTTATAAACACAAGATATTTAGAGCGTCAAGAACCTTCATGGACTAACAATGGTGATAAATATCACCCGAAAAAAACTTGTATGTAATTGTTATAAAAAAGGAATTAAGAATTATAATATAACTGTCGATATATACTTATGATAAAGATTGCTAACACCAGCTTCCGGTAATGACTAAATATTAAATATAAGGAAAGTTAAACTTTAAAATCGATTGATTTGATGCAGATAGTTACGTTATGGAAAAAAGTTATATCAACATATTACACTCCCATTTCAAAGTTAAAATGGTGATGATCTACTGTTGTACCTATTTGTTATGCTTTGATTCCTTTGCTCTCTAGGGCCATTATATAGTGGACATTCAAATATATTTTGTTACACAGTTTTATTTTCATGACTGCATCTACAGGCTGCTGAGTCATAATAGTGATCATTAAATAGATCAGAATCTATGTTACTGGCATTATGTATAAGCTGGCAAAGAAGCTTATTATATTTTCGTGGTTCTAAATATTTAAATGTATTGTTAATTTATGTCATGTTGTTAACAATTAATTGAATTATCTTTTAAATTATTGTACGGAGTTGATGTTTATATCATCAGCGTGTAAATTAAATTCCCTTGGTGTTAATAACAAAATTGAGTAACTCTCAGATCTACAACGGGAAGGACTGAATAGTTATTTCTTAGAGAATGTCTTACATGCTCATCATTATTAATAAACTGATCAATGATTCAGTTGTTTTGAGTTCTAGTATTTTATATATTAGTGAAATTTTATGATGATTTCGCCTAATACTCACAGTATTAATTCCAGTTTCTGCATAAAGCTTATAATGGGATGCCCCACTTTACAGATGTTAAAGATATTATTGATATGGTGTGACCACCACTTAACATTGTAATGAATGTTACCTGAACATTTGTGTATCATGATTGCACTGTGTGATTATCAAATAGAATATATTGATTATTTTGTTCTCTTTTTCTCAAGAAAAGAATAGATTCTGTTTTCGTGGATTAACATTGATATCCTATTTATTTGCCCAGGTGTATAATTTTCTTAAGTAGTCAGTGATTTTTGTGCAATGTCTTTCAGGTTATTTACTATTACTTCAAGAATATACTTCTGCTTGTTAATTATTCAGCTATATCATTGACATCAATAAAAAAGCAAAAACAAATTTTAAAAAAAAAATGGACCGAGGACTTAACCTCGTGTAATACCAGCTTTTACAGGTTTAAAAGTTAAATAAAACCCCTCTGTTAATATTTTTTGTTTTCTATGAGTAAAATGATCTTAAAACCAATCTAAAATTTAACTCCTTAAGTAATTTCCCGCGCCAAACTCGGTCAAACGCCTTACAGAACACAAATCATAGAGGAGTAAGTGGCCAGTGTGTTGTGCATATGGACTTTTTGTGGCCTTATCTGCTGGGAGAAAAATCTAGTTTCAACCAATATTTGAACACATCAAGCCAAAATTAAGAATATAAATCGATCTCAGACGTGATCATCTTGACTAATGCTCAAATTCGATAGACATAACATTGAGTTACTTCCTAATATAATCCTGAACTAGTTTGTTTACAATAAGGAGATACTTTCCCTTAAGTCTTTCTTTAACAAAATTGTATGCTTGTTTACCACATGTTGTCACCCGAAGGAGAGTACTTGAATAGGCAATGCCTGATGTCCAATTCCTTTTGACATTGAGGGGTAAATAGTTTGATTATCATAGGTATCATATTATGAGGATCAGGGATTATTATCATTAAGTAGAAGTAGTTGATCTTTGATGACCTGTTCAGATACAATGACGTTTTTCACTTAAAGAGAAAACAAATTTTCAAGGGAAGTTGATATGGAGTTAAAATAGTTACTTAGACATTCTGTGTTATCAAATGCATTGTGTATATTGGTTATATCATATATTGGGGATATGGAATAAGATAGATTATTAGAATTCATAACTGCAATTTTTCACCATTAGTTTGATTGGTCGTAGAGTAATTCTTGTAACTTATCAACGTAGTTTCTTTTTAGCTTCGCTGACTAGATCCACAATTTCCTTTTAATACAAAATTTGAACAAACGAAATCAATAATAGATGGCTCACTGTATGTTGGAGTATTCACTATAGTATGTCCAAGGTTACGCTTTCTTGTGAATAATACATTGATAACTTAGGCAGTTGTCTCCGTCACCTTGGTTAACTAAAGTGGGTATTTACAGAACTGATTAACATATTTACATTAATATTCCCTCTAATAATGATATCAACACATGTGTTGCAAGCATTTTCTAAAATATGGACTTAGTTATCCATATATTCTTCATTACATTCTCTTAGGATATATATATATATATATGCAATGTTAATACACTTTAGATGTTCGTTTTTTGTAATATAACTCTTAGACACGTGGACGAAATTTAATCAAATTTGACACCGAGCTACCTCCGTGAACTGAAAATGTCCCTCGGCTAAAATTATCAGACCGTGACATAGCTCGACGCTGCATTCTTTAAGCAGCTTTTTCAAGAAAGCGTGTATCCGGAGTGTGTTGGGTAAATTATTACAAATCGAACATCGGAACAGTATAAATCAGCTACGCAACATTTCATTTCGAAGTGATTGTAGAGCGATATGCCGCGATTGCGTGAAGTCGATAGATATAGGACCATTGCTCTGATAATGCAGGAGCATTCAAAACGTCATGAAGCCCAGTAATATTACGTACATGAGACAGCCATTTCCCGCTTAATTTGGCGGTTCAGAGCCACAGGGAGTTTGGGTGACCGTCTCCAGACCGTCCGGGCTTTACGTTGCCACGTCAAGATAGAGACATATATCTCGGGAATCTCCGATTTCAAACGGCGATCAAGGCAGCACACCAAATTATGGTGTCCGAAAACGGCTAACTTGCGGAAGTTTTATTTAAGGCCAGTATATCCCTATGTTGGTCCACCATTGAGACGTTACGGCAACGTAAGATGCAGTGGCTACTTACACATGCACCTTATCGGTCTCGTTTGGCCCACTGGAAACGCGTGTTGTTCACTTACGAGTCTCGCTCCACACTTTTGGCGACAACGTGTATATCAACATCATGGTGAGCGATATTCTGAAGCTTGCGTAACGGGGGAAGACCTATTATGATATGGGCAGGGATATCTGAAGACGTGAAAATACCTCTCGAGTTTATCCAAGGCAATCTTACAGCAGTAACATATAAGGATCAGATCTTGAGACCACACGTCCTTTCTCCTATCCAACAACGTAACCTAACCCGAGGCCCCGTGTTTCTAGGGTTTGTCGCGATTTCTAGCTCAAAACAACGTTCCAATTCTTGATGGTCCAGAATTAAGTCCATATTTGTCCCCAATAGAGCATTTGTGGAACGATCTGGACTGGAGGGTACGGAAGCGTGTCAACGTCCCATATAACGTCGCTCACCTCACGCAGACCATTATTCTGGAGTACAAAAACATCTCAAAGGACAATAAACACATTGATGAGCTCAGTGTTAAGGAGAGTAAGAGCAGTGACTGAAGCCAGGTGTACCCTTGTTTTAACGCTATTCATGCAAACGCAGTCTGTGATAGGACAAAAATCATCAACATGTATTCAGTAGTGATGAAATAATCGTGAACAACGAAATAATCATCAATGAATCGCGTAAAATAATAATAATCGAAAATGAACTCGCATTTCTTTTTTCCGCTAGTATATTTGTAACAGGAGAATATTAGCTAGGCACGCGATGAACATTGGATACGAATAATTGTTAAACAAAATGGACAAAATAGCATAATAGTAATTTAACACAATTTGGTTAGGGTTTCGAAAACATATAACTGTTAATCACTTGATTTTAACACACGGATCAATAAAAGAGTAATAGAGACATCATTAAAACTGTAAACTGAAAGTTGAAACGTTCTGCAATATTTCAAATTACAGTTGGATAATACAGCAGTTTGCAGCTCCATATTTATATCTACAATACTGCAAATGATGTAAGTTTCTAATCATACTTTTATCTTGTGTCTGAGATGTACTGAATTATCATGTATATATTAGATTGTGAATACAATTTAAAAAGTAAGTATGATGGGACAAGCATTCCTTGGAATATATTGGGATTAAGATTTATGTAAAACATATAGGATATCATTAGCAATAATTACCTTCAACATGTGTAGATTGTATGCACAGAAAGAGTTGAACAATGGTTCATATTCCTTTGTGCCTTTCTCAATTATGAATTATTCAGTTAAACACTTGGTCTATATATCCATAATTTATACATCTGGAAAATTATATGAAATTAATATCTAGCATACCTTAATATTTCAAGCCATTTTCACAATTTTTCTGGATAGTTGTAAAATCATTACATTTTAGCTTGATACTTACAGTAATTTATATAGAGAGAGTTATTGATAAACAAAAGAAGCTAGAATTGTAGTTTTATTTACTCATGGTTATAATTTACGCAGGTTTATACATAATGTCAAGCAGACATTGATATTCTCTATTTACAGTCTTGTATAGTCATAAATGGCTTGCATTGATCAGTATTAG